TCAAAGCCGGCAGCACAGATATGGGTCTAAAATTTGTGGGGTCCGAAGTGCTGCCCGTTTTGAATAACGGTGTGATTTTACTTATCTTCATCTGGTCTGGAAAGACTCCACAATCTATACATTCATTAAATATTATAGCCAACTCTGAACTGATAGTATTGATTACTGATTGTAAAATGAAAACAGATACACCCCAAAGATCTTTAGTTTTTTTTATTTTTAGCTGTTTAAATGTTTTTATAATGTCATTGCAGCTAATGCGGCTAAATACAAACTTATGATTGCATACAGGAACATTCTTTTTCAATAATAAAAGGGCGGCTGATGGTGAAGAATTTAAAACGCTGGTTGTATTTAAAGGAATGTTAGTAAAAAACTCTTCAAATGCAAAGGCTACTTCGAGGTCGGAACTAATTACTTTGCCGTTTATGTTCCCTTAAAATCAGTATCCTTTCTGGAGGTTCTTCCAGTCTCCTCGTTTATAATTTTCCAAGTAGCCTTTATCTTATCAGAGCTGTTGTTTATTCTAAGACTTAAGTGTTTCGCCTTAGCGATTCTACACTCTTGCCTAAAACTTTTTGAGAATATCCTAACATAAATTTTAAATTCTTCACTGTCATTATACTGTTTTTCATCATACAACTCATACAATTTTACCCTTTTTTTGTGTAGCTCCGGAGTTGCCCAGTCACAAAAGGTAGGTTTCTCCGAGACCAAAAAAGTCTTTGGATTGAACACATTTTTGAATTCACCAATAAATGAATCAAAGAATGTGCTATATAAATTATTAGGGCATTGGTTACTACGCAAAAATGGCATTTCAAATATCAAATTTTTCCTAAATCTGTCTAACCGATCCTCTGTTATAGGAATTGTGCATATTTTCTTTTTTTGATCTTTACATTTTAGTATTTCAAATTCAAACAATTGACCAGAGTGGTCAGATGTAAGTTTGTTGATAATACAGGCGTTGAGAGGAACTATATTACTATAGATATTGTCAATACATGTTGCCGTGGTGGCTGTTACCCTAGTTGGTACAATAAAAGTATTAATTAAATTATATGATTTAAACAGATTTAGCAAACGTTTACTTGGACTACAGTTGTCAAGCAAATTTACATTAAAGTCTCCACTAACGATCAATTTTTTCTTGGATTTTGTTAGTGATATTGAATAGAATATTATCAAACAATTGATTAGCATTTAAATTACAGAACAAAAATATTTGTGATGCGAATTAATTTATAGTATTAATACCTAATATAACATAATTATCAGGATGTTGATATTTTCCACCTCACCAAAGAGGATGTAAAGTAATATTTGAAGAGTCGTGAAGACTTTAGAGATTATCATTCTACAGTGACGCTTTGACTTTGTTTAGCAGTAACAATTAAATTTTCTTTGAAATTTTGAGTATTAATTGTCTTTTAATAGTAAATTGTTTTTTAATGTTAAATTTCAGTTTACTTTTTGTCTATTAATGTAATTATCATATCAGGGTATATCGTTTCATATACCCTGTTTATCAATGTAATCTGTTTTGGCTTTGTATGTTGTATAAGTGTTTTGTTAAATAATATGGATGTTAGATGTAAGCTTACTAATAAATAAATGAACAAAATCCCGTTTGAGTTGACGACCATGATATAAATATTCACATTACCATGCAATCTCAGTCCGATAGAAACTTTCGCGTTAATTTGACGTCTTTTACAAAAATGAATTTATTATTATCTGTGTTCGCTGTTTCCTTTATAACTGTGTTTGGGGGTAAGCATTTTTTTAATCAGCTTTTAAGAACACATTTTAAATCAGCGATTGTAATTTAAACAAATTTCATTGTTGTATTTATACCTAATTAGTCTTCTATGTTGCCTGTTGCTTCTTACTATTAAAAAATATTGTATTAATATAATAATCCTACAGTAGCCTAAATTATATATAACAAAAAACAGTTATACTAAAGATATACCCAATGATGGAATACATAATATGTACAAAAAGGGTCAAACATTTATGTATGGAAAAAAATATTATACACATCAAACTAAATAATACGTCATTCGACTGTGTTGTGTGATGGTGTGAAAGTGAGATGAGTTTGATATGACCGTGAGGGTGTGTAGTGAGGTGTGCTCATGATGCAGGCAACTTTATGTTTTTTTTATAATATTTATTTGGCTCGAATATTGCTATTACATAGTTTAGTACACTTAAAATCTAGAATAATAAATTAGAAATAATTATTTATACCAACACATTGTATCACCAAGCCGAAGACAACTTCGTTAGTGTTATTTTAAGTAAGGAAAAAATTATGAATAAGATATGTCGGTGATCGGTTAACCCCTATTAATAATGTCTTATTATAAATATTGACCTACATTGCCTTTGAAAAAAGTGATTTACATAATCCAATTGACATTTTAGTTTTTTTTTAAATGTCAATATTTTAATATTTACTGGTTCGTTATCAATACAATAATATAATTTATTCTCTCGTCATAATAAGAGAGGTCGTTTGGGAAATCGGAGCGGAGTCTACCAATTTATAGTAGTTACAAAAAGTGTAGAAAGAAAGAGAATATAGACAATTAAACAATAATTTAAATATTTTTTGTTTGTCAGTCCAATGTCTAAAACGATTTTGCATTTTTGTCTTTTATTTTCGCAACTCAACAATATTACTCATTAAAACTTTAGATTATGCTTGAATTACGCAATAATAATAATTATTAATTAAAAACACAATTGAAGAAGCGCCGCCTATTAATAAATAAATTAAATATTTATATATACGATACAAAACAATTATACAAGGCAACCGTGGACGGTGAAATCGTTGTTGGGTAGGCCTTCTCATACATACCTGGACCAACTTCAGAGAGAAGGGACAAGTTATGTAAACCCATATAGGAGCGTTCACGGTGAAGGTAAAAGTGGATGGAGAGAGGTCAGGACCGTAGCAAGTGGAGATCTCCTACCCCTTCGGGAAAAGGGCGTGATAATATAAATATAATAAGTTTAACTGAATATATAAAGACATACACATAATAATGTAGTTATCTGCTACATTGTTTTTATAACACCATGCACCTTTTTATTTTAGTACATTAGTTTTTTGAAGTGAAACTTCTTTAGGCGCATGAGGGTAAAATTTTTACGCATGAAACGCAATAATAATAATATTAGCGTCACGAAGATGTGAAGCGTTTTTGTCGAAGAAAGAGAGCTATTGAGACCAATTGAGAGAGAGTGAGAAGGGCGAATTACCTTAAAATTTCGTAAAGAGAATTTATGAAATATTGGTGTATTATATTTTATGCAAAATAATTTATTGAAATGTCAAATGACTAATTGTCGAAGACGTAAATTTAAAAAAATTAAATTTATAATTTGTATTAATTTTTTACACTTTTAATATTTTAACATATTATCTTCCTTTTTCCCTCAAATTCTCGGAAATCAAAAGTTTTAGATTTGTATAAATATGAACAAGACTTAAAAATTAGTTTGCCAAAGAAGTTTCACTTCTGACATGTGTACCTACTTTGTACCTAGTTGGTACGCACGCACATTGTTTAGTTCTAGGTTGATTCTTCACATATAATTATCAAATTGATGTATACAAAATCTTAAAAAACTATTTTAAAAGAGTAAGTATGGAGTTTCATGCCCATTCTTCTCCATATGAAACTACATTTTGAAAGGGTTTGCCCCTTTCAAAATTCAGCCATTTTTAATGTTTTTAACTTTCAAAAGTGCCTTTTTAATAGGCCTAATTGAAATAAATTAGTTTAATATATGAGATTATTATAATTCCGCCCTCAAATCTAAAAAACGTCCATTATTAGTATCGCCTCTAACCTGTTCCATTATTTAACGGTCAATTTATTGCCATACAACGACAATTTTCCAAACGAGTTTTATCTAATAATACCCGTGTGTCATCAACAAAGCTATGAAACACATATCGAATGTTAATTAATATGTTAATGCGCTTTTTATGCATTTTAGTTCCGTTTGTATTACTTGCATGAAATGTCGGAAAATTGTTTATATATGTTTAAGATATAAATGTTGAATGCTTCTTACCGTATTATATTAATATCTTGTTTATTTCAGATTACATCCAAATGTAGTTTTAGCTAGAGTTTCGTTAGAGATTCGGTTTTAGTTGCTATGTTAGTATTGGTTTGTAAACGAATCAAACTATATTCGAACAAAGCTTCTATACGTACAGCTCGCTTATCTGCTACTTTTAATGTTCCAGTACGCTATCTCGCTCTTACAACTTAATTACAAACATTAATTAAAATTGATATATTTTATAACAATCTTTCTACTCGCCATAATTTTGTGTATCATGCTCTTAATGAGGTTTAAGTTTCTATTCATTTTAGTTTTTTTTTTGCTCGATTAAAGATTTATCCTACTAAAATTATAAACGCGAAAGTTTGTAAGTATGGATGGATGTTTGTTACTCTTTCACGTAAACTACTGATTGTATTTTAATGGAACTTTACAATAATATAGCTTATACATCAGAATAACACATAGGCTACAATTTATAAAGATATTGTGTGAATTGTCCAAAATATAAGTAGGAAAAAATCTACCATCTGCGAGAAATTCTGGCGTACGCTGCCAAAACCGCTAGAGTTATACATATGTAATGTATGATGAAAATGTTTATCTTAAATAGTCAATATCTTTAGTAGTCTTTTTCTACGCCACGCTAATATAAGCTACTCGAAATACTAATCCTGCGCAGACGAAGTCGCGGGCACCAGCTAGTGATCTAATATAATTGATGTGTATAAATTTGTGAAGTCATATTTTATTGTATATTTCAAGCATACATGTTGTTTTAGGTCTTATAAATAAAACAATCTTGATTAAACGCTAGTGTCCAGCAAATAAAATAAGAGTAAAAATGGTTTTTAGGTTAGGTATATGCTACTAAAAGCACATACGCAGACTTTCCCCAAATCATGCAACATAATAAAGGTATCATTATCATTTCAGAACAATGTCGACCATCTGTGACCTTGCCAGACCCAAAACTCGGATGCTGTGGTGTTCATCTCGCTGCATCACACACTGGCGATAGTAAGCCTTTTTATAAACTAAATTATATATAATAAGCTGCTTGTGTTGGGAGGATATCTATGTTACTATATATCACGTTTGCGACAGTCTTAAAATGACACAAAAATGTATATTATATAAAAACTAGCTGACCCGGCAAACGTTGTTTTGCCATGTATATTTCTAGGAAACAATTTTTTAGTTCAATAAAAATAACTATCTACAATAATACAAAATAGAGGGGTGAAAATTAGGGGTAGTATGTATTTTTGTATGCTGTAACATAAAAAAATAAAAATATTCTTTTTGGGGTGGACACCCCTTATCACTTAGGGGTTTGAAAGATAGATAGTAGCCGATTCACAGACTTACTGAATATACATAAAAAAATCATAAGAATCGGTCGAGTCGTTTCGGAGTAGTATGGGAACGAACATTGTGACACGAGAATGTTATAGTACCTACATAAAATAATTTATTCATATACACAAGGAACCTGACGCCTATTAGTAGTAATTGTTTGAGCTCCAAAATCCAGCAATTTTTGAGTTTATCCCCTTAGTACATAGGTACATAATATATAAGGATTTACAAGGATCTAGGTTATGGTAAATATGTGAACAAAGACGATACCTAAGGTATTGAGATTGTAATACATTTTTAAGTTTCTCAAAAATATATTTGCAGTGGGTGATACAGCCTTAAACCAATACCCATGGCTGGCGCTTATAGAAGATCCCAACGGTAGAATAACTTGCACGGGAGCTTTGATAAGCTCCAGATATGTATTGACCGCTGCGCAATGCGGCTTTAGAGAACCGTAAGTATATAAAAATACATTAAATATTAATTAAAAAGACCTGTGATAATTTCCTGTTACAATGAATAGCACTTCCAACTGAAGTACAGCCTTCATTATATAGACCATAAAATATCTTCTTACCCGTTAGGTAAAGGAGACTATCATAAATATCCCATGCCCCAAAAAAGCTACACAACCAATCCCAGCTAAAAACATTAAAATCGCAATAGCCTAACAATTTAAAAAGCAAATTAATTAAAACCACAAAATAGACTAATGCTGTTGTAGGGGTGAACCGCAAGCGGGTCACTTCATTAAACATTTATATAATCCATACATTATGGATATCGACGGTCCCTATTCCGAAAGACGGTATATTCAATGTTTTTTGAAGTTATACTTTTTTGACGCGTCAGGGAAAAATGATGAGAGTAAATTTCAACATCGTCACAACCTTCCAACGTCAAACCGACACCCTGAAGTTAGCTATTAATAGTCAACATTTTAGTTTTTTTTGAAGTTATACATCTTTTGGCGCGTTAGGGAAAAATTATGAGAGTAAATTGTTTCTATTGTTAGTGTAGTATTTTCTACAAACGTAGAACGTAGAAATAAGCCGAAAGATAACATTTTTGAAAAGATTTTTCTCTTGTTACGCCAAAGAAGTATGACTTTTAACGCGTGTATATAATTACACACACATGCCTGTGTATGTAAGTTTTTTTTTGTGGTTTACTAGATAAACTGTTCTCTTATAACAAGTAATTGGTTTCAAAAAATTGTCGTATATACGAACCACATTACGCTCTCCTGAAAACCTCTATTTTTGACATGTGTCTTTGTATGTAGGGACCGTCGATGTTTGAAATTAAATTGACGGTAATTCATTTATTTGACGCAATCCTTCTAACATTAGTGATGATACCACCTAGTCTTTTCAATCTTCTTTGTAGTTAAAACTTTATTGGAATAGGAATTAATAATTATCTCAATAACACTAAATTAAATTAATGAAAATATTCCAGAAAGAGCATCCGCTTTGGGGAGTACAATAAAACCAACTCCGAACTGGACTGCCTCATGGTGAACGGAGCTATGAAGTGTGCGGACAGAGTCCTGACAGTTCCAATAGAATACATGAAGGCACATCCTGAGTTCTCGACCCAAAACCCGAGAGTGCACGACTTGGCACTTATTAAATTGAAGACATCAGTTCCTTACACTGGTAATAAACTAAATAACGTAAATTTCTTTGGTTTTAACTTTCTACTATAGAAGTAGAATTATTAATATTCCCAGGGCTTTTTAGTATCTCGCTAAAAGCTCGATTTAATTTGTCAGCTTTTGTTTTTCTTTTTTTTTAATTTGGACGCTCATAAAGGGCAGTCATCGCAGCCCATGGACACCCATTTTTAGTGGGTGGGTTGCCGGCATTTGAGGGAGGAGTACTTTCTAACTTTGAATAGTTGGAGGTCGTATCTCTCAGGGAAGTCCCCCACCGGGAGTCGATTCCACAGTTCGCTAGTTAGCAAAAGAAACTGCCTTATGTAACGGACTGTGGAAAACTTCCAGCCATCCAGGTGATGTTGATGAAATTTTGCATTGATGGTACGGTGTTGAAACGAGGCATAGTATACTTTGTAGAAAACGCAAAGAGACGCAATGTCTCAGCGTAAGTAGAGAATCAAGTCGATCTGTAATACGTTGGAGATTGACAATTCAAGTAGCCCTTCGCTGATTTTGGTCAAAAGGAAGAAGCTGGTATTTTTCGTTGGTCTAAACATCTTAAATACCCATTTATTAAGGATTGCTAAATCTAAAACATCACGTTACCACAGATAAACGGTACAGAAATTAAAAGTGTTGCAATTCCTTTTCAAAATTTTTAGTGGATAAAATATCCATTAAAAGCAAAGGAGAGATCGATTGACTGAGTGAAGTAATTTGCATTCATTACACGGGCAGATACATTTCTCCATTTGTATACCATTTTTAAGAGAAGGAATTCATCTGTCATACAACTCGACGTCGAATCATTCACCAGAGATTGATCCCAGAGCCTCTATTCTACGAACTTGTCTGATGTGCAATGACAAAAATTATAAATAACTAGCGCATCCGACTAGGATATTAATGAAAGTGCTGACTGCAGCGCCATCTGCCAGGCTGATTTGTGAATCTAAAACTTCCAGGACGCCACCCAAACGCATACAAAAAATTCATTAAAATCGGTCCAGCCGTTTAAGAGGAGTTCAGTGACATACACACGTAATTATATATATAAATAAACAAAATACATAATTAATTTAACATAAGTTTATACACATTTCAGAATACATAAGGCCCATATGCCTCCCAAGCTCTGACATCAACACATCTCCACCAAAGGGTCTGCCCTTCACAGTTGCAGGTTGGGGCAGCAAGCCTTCAAGTCTTCAGGAAGATGATGTGGTCAAACATTTCGTTGAACTTCCTTACAAGTCCTTAGAGGTCAGTCTTATTAATACTACACCATCAGAACGGATTACATAATGGGTAATAACTGATTTATTTTTCCTACTGTGATTTTGCCTCTTTTCATCACAGCGTAAACACAGTTTGATGAAAAGAGACAAAATTTAGTTATTATTCTTTTACAAAAACATACATATTTTTTTTATGTCAATGGGAATAAACATCAGTCTTGGAGATTTCGTCGGAGACTTTAATCGAAATATTATGTGTATTTGTGTATTTTAAGCATGATTCTAAACACACAAAAAACTTGCTTACATGTTTATCAGCTTAACAGAATTTGTATAGATTCTACAATCTACAGCAGAGTTTCATCATCGGACGTCGAGGTAATACGAGTGGAACTTCTACTCTACCGGTCCACAACTAAGCGTTTTTAAGGCAGTTTTTGCCGCGCACCACCACTATGTCGAACCAGCTGCCTACTGAATTATTTCCGAACCAATTTGACTTAGGGTCCTTCAAGAAAAAAGCGTATCAATTATTAAAAGGCCGGCAACGCACTCGCGAGTCCTCTGGCTTTGGGAGTGTCTATGGCCAGCGAAATCACTTAAAATAAAAAATAAAATGTTTATTATGGAACATAAGATACAGGTATCACTTATTCCACGTCATTAAATTTGAAACTTAACATCAGGTGAGCCTCCTGCCCGTTTGCCCCCTGTACTATAAAAATAATAAAAAACTAAAATTCTTTGAACCGAACTGAGCCTATTGTTAGAATATTTATAATAATCAATGATAGAACAGTTGCATGTCGCACAAGACGCTCTAACGCATCCATTTTACTAGATGTGCTTGTGTGCGGACCCATGCAACTTCTTCGATAGAAAGAGTACCCTCGGTAGTTTTGTGCTGTGATATTGCAGGCTACTCGATTGTGAGGAAGTTGCATGGATCTGCGCCTTCTTAATGAGAACTTAAGAAGGTGCAGCGTTAACCATCATGGCATATTATCATATGTATTTGATTTTCCTTACTTTAACCTGGGTGATGTTTGAGAGTAAATTAAAATAAAATGTATAGTCTAAAAGATGCTTGCTTTGTATTATCAATATTAAACTAGTCTGAACAATATTTGCATACATTCGCAGACAATATAAACAATCTAAAACATTTTTACAGCAATGCAAAGCCGCCTACGAGAAATACCACCCAGGGCACTTCACCATCACAAACCAACAGATCTGCGCTGGCGGTGAAAAGGACAGAGACTCCTGCAGAGGAGACGGAGGCGGTCCTCTCATGTATGAAGAAAATGGGCGTCACACAGCCGTCGGCGTCGTCAGCTTTGGTCCGAAGCAGTGTGGTACCAATGGAATCCCTAGTGTTTACACCAATGTCTTCAAGTATATGCCCTGGATACGAAGCGTGGTTAGGGCTTAGACCTAAGGTCCTACAAAAGTCACGATACATATGTATATATCTTATGTTTGTAACTGAGTCGTCACAGGAAATATAAACTAAAAACCTACAAAATCGCTAGATTTTATAACTTTTTTGTGAATAGTTATGTACCTATATTTTATACTCTTAAGGGTCTGCTTCACAATGTACGGATAAGTTCTACATAAGTTCCAAATACGCTATTTATTACTTTTTGGTAGGATAAACCCTATTGTTGCGTTTCACGACTGTCAGAAAGCGCTATTTTTCACATAAAGTCCATCATAAGTTATGAGTCAGATGAAGTGTCAAATAGCACAATTTATCTTCCAAATAATTTATGTGTTGCATAGCTATTTGGTACTTTATCCATACATTGTGAAACAGACCCTAAGTGAGGTTTTTATAATCAATTTTTTTTTCGACAGAATTAATTCTTATGTCGGATGTCTTAATTTTTACCCTTCCACCACCTGCAAACATAGCAACGCGTTTGCAGAGTCAACTAGTTTTTGTTTAGCAAGTCAGGCAATTTGGAACTTAACGTAAGCACATACACTATTTAAATTGTGTAAAGGCAACTTTCAAGGGTAGGTGAAAATACTTAAACAAATGCTTAGTAAGCATATAGCGGTATAGGTGAAAATTTATAACCAAGAGTAAAACTATGCATACTATTATTATAATTTAATAATTGGAAGAAATATAAATAAAAATTAGAAATTAGCAATTAGCATTTGTTATAAGTGACTTCACGATAAAAGTCTATTAATATCTAGGTGTAATAATTTAAGAAATATCTGTTAATAGCATAATTATTTAGTATTAAATAGTTTGGAAATACTGAGTCGTTTCATTGTTAACGGACTTCTGATGTAATTTTTTCTAGAACCTATTTTCAGTGAAGTTCGAAGATAACTTTGATTCTTCGATTTTAGGTTTAAAGACTTTATTTCTAAAAAAAGACAAAAATGTCACTCACTCAGCTTCAATTTGAATGAATTGAAAGAAGAAATATTTTTGAAGTTATACTTCAAAATTGATGAGAGTGAAAATTTACGATGCACGCACACCGTTACACAAAATTAACAGAATGAAGTTGCTCACGGAAGATGCTACGGCATTGGACATAATTTAAAAAAAAAACATTCGAATAATAATAGAATTTATGTTACACTTAGTGTAAGAGAATAATAATAAATACTTATTTATTTAATTTTTCAAATGAAAACTGAACTTTATTGACTATAATGACTCCTTTTCCAGTCTTTGATTATTTAATTGTAATTAATTATTTGCATGCAATCAAAACTATTTTTAATAATGCCAAAGAAGTATAACTTCTTACACGCGTACATAAAAAAATTACGAGCGCAGGCATACAGCATTGGTAGCTTTATAATAAAAAATTAAAAACTTGCATTACTATTTAGGTGACGGGGAAATATGAATTTTTACCTTGAATTAATTACTTATGAGTCAACTTAATTGATAATAATTAAATTCAGGATTTTTTCACATACGTCACAAGACGATATCACGACATTTGATGCTGGAAAACCCAAAACTGTATTCAGTTCTCCATACGTCTGCGAACGGATTTAAATAATTTTATTAATTGTTTTTGGTTAAAAAAAATATTTCAATATTTTATTTTAATATGGGTCCAACAATTGTGTACCTACCCGTCTCTAGTTTTTAGGGGGCAAACGGGAAGGAGGCTATCATTAGATGATACCACCGCCCATGGACACTTTTAATGTCATAGCTTGCGAGTGCGTTGCCGGTCTTTTAAGAATTGGCACGCTCTTTTTTTGACCCTAATACGAATGGCACTTTTTTAACTAACATGAACGCTAATTACCTCTTTCAGAGACAACTTCCAAAAATAAGTTTTGTTAAATTTAAAAACAAAAAAACATTTTTGAGGAATAAAGATATTATATTTTCCGGTCCAATTAGTTTCTTTGAGAATTAAACCTTTAGTCCTGAGTTACAACCAAATTCGTAAACACTATGTGAACGTTTAGTTTCCTTGTACATTCGAGTAATTTTACCAAGAAAATTAATATTTCTAACCACCATTCAAACAAAACACATAAACACCTGCTAGGTAATATCCCGACAAGTGACTAATCAAACTCAAACTCAAAATAACTTTATACATATAGGTAGCCAAATAAACTTATGAACGTCTCCTCAGCAGAACCCACTTCCCGAAACAGTTAATTGTGAAAGTATGTTTTTACCAACCGCTATACAATAATTGTTCTCAATACGAACCAGATTTGTGAACCGTTGAAATATTTGATTTAAAACGATTAATAAAAACATATCGTTATTATCATTCCCAGACAAAACACACGTCAAAAAGTGCATTATTATAAATAGTTACGTAGACGATTTGCGTATATTGCGGTTAACACAGAGATAAACAGTATCAGAAGGCATCCACGCGCGGAACAGGATAAAGTCGTGAACTCCTGCGCAACTCCACACATAGTCTAGGAGACAATAACATTTATATTATAAAAAAATATTACTTTAGGAATATTTATCTTCATATAACACCCTTTTTAGAACAGAGGGCAAACGGGCAGAATACCGCCTCCCATCGACACTCTCAATGCCAGAGGACTCGCAAGTGCGTGGCCGGCCTCTCAAGAATTGGTACGCTCTTTTCTTGAAGTACCCTAAGTCGAATTAGTTCGGAAATACTTCAGTGGGCAGCGATGGTGCGCGGGAAAACATGCTTTAAAAAACGCTCAGTTGTGGAACGACGGACGTCGAGGTGATACGGGTGAAACTTCTTATTCTGCCTCGACGTCCGATGATGAAACTCAGCTGCAGGTTAATCTGACCAACTCCTCTGAACACTATTCATGGTAAATGCGGTAGAAGATGCAAAGTCACTCCACAATCCACATCTCTACGCAACGCCAAGGGATCAAGTACTGTACTGGTAAGGCCCCGCCCAGAGGTGAGAACAGTACTACGGGGGCGAATTTGCACTGTAAACAGTTGCAAGCGGTTACATACTACTATTTAACATATAAGTCTATAGCCAGTTGTTTGCGATTTACATCTTAAGTTCAGTACAGTGGTTAGACTGGCCATGGATCTTTTAGGTGGAATACAAAATTTTCCTCACAATTATAATATTAATATATTTTTTCTCATAACTTTAATTGGAGTCTAAGTGACAATCCATCAAGATTATAATCTAGTAAGAATACCTATAAATCGAACATAACTATTAATTTACGCTCTTAATAAGGTTTGAGTTATTTAGTTTTCGCGTTTATATTTTATGTGGTTAGTTTCCTTTTTTGTATGTAATTTCCTGTCTACTATAATTGACATGTTTGTGTGTAAATACGTCATATTTTCATGTATTTTAAGATATGCCTGTTCTTTAAAAACTTATTAACAGACAACTGCTACTATACATATCTTAACTTAAGGTAACTTACCATGATACATAAAAATTGAAAATATTTAATGAATTGAAGCACACAACAGACGCGTTTATAAAATTAAATATATACTCAGTCATGAAAACAAAACAATCATCTCTTAATTACTTAATTGGCAATTGTTAGTGTGCTAATAAAACAAGCACTATGTTTCAGCACGAATACAATAGCTTGGGGTTCACGTCTTCAACGAATAGGAATACATTTGCTACTTGCATCACAGCTTTAACCGGTTTTTTTAACAAGATTTTTGCGACTACTAACAATAACTGTTATAACTTATAAGTCAAACCCTTTCAGGAATCTCACTATGAAGATATTTTTTTATGTAATAGGTGGCAAACCATTTGATGTTAAGTGATACCGCCGCATATGGACACTCACATTGCAAGGCTCGCAAGGGTGTTGCCGGCCTTTTAAGAATTGGTACTCGCTTTTTTTTAAACGTTTTTCTGTTCGTGTTTATTAATAAACTTCATCACATGATACATAATGCTATACACGCGTTACAGGTTGTCCTATCTAAAATCTATGACAGTTATGGTAAAAACATTACAAAAAAAAAAGATTTTATGTTATAAGCGTTACAAAAAATGTATTTATATTTTTTTATTGATCAGCCCACTACCGAATATATCAAGCTCTGGAAAAGTCTGTTATATTCGCGATGAATTTGAATGAGAAGTGTCTGAACTCTGAACTCCTAGGTTGGTTCTCCGCGTTCGGCAGCGTTCGACATCTTTGTTGTATATAAAGTATATATCGTATTATATCAATTACATTGTAATCGATCAATTCAATTGTGATTTCCATTTACCTCCTTCACTATATCCATACAAAATATCTATAAAACAAATAAAATTAAAATTTTCTTTTGAAAAATGCAACCATTCCATCAGTATTTTCTAATGACGTAGTCACGTTCAACTATCGTCAGTAAACCGACTTTACAGACAACCGATTTTTTTCTTTAAAAAAGACAGCGTTTTCCACTTTAGCAACGCGCGACCCCTATAGTATTAGTGTTCATGTATAGTTTAACATCAGGTGAGTCTGTTCCCCCTGTTCTATACAAAAAAAACAAAATACACGACTTGTTTTAAGATGTAGTAAGCGATGTGACACGAGCCCGCTGACCTCATAACCGACAGAAATCGACGGCTCTTAGACTAAAAGCCACACATCCTTGAATACAAACTACAAAGTTTAGTGGCTTTCAAACGAGCGTGTAGCAAACATGTATAAGTTGCTGTGTATATTATTGTTTATATTACACGTAAACGGGCAGGAGTATGGTGAGTAATTTTTGTTTTTTGGTTTTATATTAACTACATACATAATAATAATAAAACGCGACAAACTTGCAAATACTGTTCGAATTAAAATATTATTTTGTAGTTGGGCCATTTCAGGAAGATTATATCACGCTAATACTGAATTAAAAAAGAAGTGGCTAACACAACTAGATCAATGAAATTAAAAAAATAAAATATGCGAAAAATTTCGTTCTAACAAAAGCTCGAAAACTGTCAACTTCAGTCATCCCGTATGAAAACAATGAAAAACAACTTTTTATTCTGCAAATTATACTTTCACATTTATACATTATAAACTCTGCTGTCTGATAAACTTTCTATTTATGAAGTGTTAATTGATATTTGCCACATACTATATTTATAATACTTGCAAATAAGGAAATTCGCACGCGAGTTACGGACGTTTTGTATAATCAACAAGTAATTACTTGTAAAGAAACGCCATTATAGACAGACATAATATTTATTACTAACGAAACACACATACAAACTAGTAATAATAATAATTAAAAAAAAGAAAAGTAATAAAATTATAGAAACGTGTGTAATGTGTGTGCGTTGTCATTCTGCCAGAGACCACGAGAGTTAGTTTGCGCCTCAGACGCAATAAAAGAAAAATAATTTAATAATAATAATTGTAGAAAAAAAAATACTAAAAATTAGCAGTGTAAGTAAAGTGTACATAACAAAAAATCTATATCAAATCCCATTGTATTCAATTTACATTGGTTTTTGAGGAGAACTAGCTCAGTCCAAAGCTTAAACAAACTTTAAACAATAGAATTATATAGACATTTAATGAAACCTCGCCACGTAAATAGAAAAATATATATAACTACTAGCTGCCCCCGCGAACTTCGTGTTCGGTTTTCCAGAATAAAAACTTTTTAGGTTGTTCTGTGAATTTTTCTCTATATAAACCCCAGAGTTAAAGGGTTGATCGTAGAGGGGTGAAAATAGGGGTTATATGTGTTTTTGTATCATAAAAATATAAAAACGAAAAAAAATTCTCTAAAAATACAAATATTTTTTTATAAGATAGATAGTATCCAATTCTCAGACTAACTGAATATGCATAAAAAATTTCATGAGAATCGGTCGAGCCGTTTCGGAGGAGTATAGGAACGAACCTTGTGACACGAGAATTTTATATATATTAGATTATGTAGATCTTTTACGTGCATACATCAATGTTACCAATATTTAAATAGATTTTTTCCTACAGATGCTGATTGTATCACGCCAACAGGTCTGGCAAGTCACTGCATCTCTATCAACGACTGCGAAAAGTTGAAGCCACTCATACGACTACCTCCAGTACAACGGGAGGCTCTCAAATCATGGCACTGTGGTTATGATGGTGACGTACCTAGAGTAAGCTATATCGACCATTTACTTGTAGATTAGGTTTATTTGTATCACCTCGACGTCCGTCGTGCCACAACTGAGCGTTTTTTAAGACAGTTTAGCCGCACCATGTGCAACTAGCTGCCCACTGAAGTATTTCCGAACCAATTCTTAAAGGGAACCAACACACTCTCGAGAATTAAGAGTGTTCATAGACAGCGGTATCACTTAACATAAGGTAGAAGGCCCGTTTGCCCCCTGTTAAATTAAAAAAAAATATTTAGCCCAACACAGGAACCGCTTGGCTGCAGGCCATATTTATTCAACAAGAACCAAAACTCTCTTAATTTGTCAATTGCAAGTGATACTTATCTTTTAATTATTACGGTTGAGAAGTATTTGTCTCAATCCACACATACAACAAACAGCTTGTACGATATTCGCTTCTCAAGGAAAACTTTCTCGCCCTGAGAAGCAGTGTTGAACTTTCGACGCATGCAATGCGATAAGGAAAATAAAACTTCGCTAATATTGTCAATGGAGAACGGTTCAATACCCTTAAATCTCAAACATAACACCCGAAAATTCGTAATTATTAAGTAATTTTTGGTCAACCTCGGATGAAAACCACAAATCACATGGTTATTTGGCTCCAAATAAAAGATTGTTTCGTTTTGTGTTGATTGTTTTCTTTAAATATTTAGTTTATAAGGAGTTTAAAGAAGTTTTTTGGTGTTTTTGTACTCTTAGTTTATAAATATGGTTAAGCAAAAAAAGAAAGGAAAATAAAATGCCACCTGCCGACGCCCATAAAGTATAGTAGCGACACAAGTGAATTAATTATATATTATCCAGGTATGCTGTCCTCCCACCACGCCCAAGGCCAGATGCTACACAGTCATGGGAAAGGCCGGTATATGCGTCAGCACTAAAGCCTGTCCCAGCATTGCGATACGTCTGAAACCACCCGTCAGTACTGCAAATCTGGAGTATGTTTTACGGTCAAAGTAAGTTTATTTTTAAAAGTAATATAATATAATCAAAATAAAAGAATAAAATTAATCAGGGGCGCTACAACCTTTTTAGGTCTTGGCCTAGATTTCTGGTTCATGATCATTTGTCAATCTAATAGGCAAGTAGGTGGTCAGCCTCCTGTGTCTGACACAGACCATCGATAAAAAAAACCTACTGGATAACTTCAGGGATGAGAGTGGCACGCTGAGGCCATTAGGGCAACACTGTTACAATAATAATTTTGACTATTTTGACTGTTGTGATGACTCTCTTTACAAATTACCCATAAACATGTGTTTGTAGATGTCGTGGTCCAGCGGAATTGAACGTGTGTTGTGAAGAGCCAGTACGTAAACCCACACTTGAGAATACGAAAGCGAACATAACAGCTGATGACAGGATTAATATCATCACTTCGAATCCCATTGAGAAAGTCACGGCAAACCCAGTATCAACCAACAATCTGCCAAACACGAATTCTATAAACATACCAAACTGCGACACAGTAGACATTCCTAACCCCGACAGTGGTTGTTGTGGAATCGACAGTAATGGCGGGAACAGAATTATCGGTAAATAATTAAGTACATATATATTTATATTGGACATATAAAACCTCTTGTTCCGCAGCTGGAGATTTTTACTGTACTCACGTTGAGCTTTAAAGAACAATTAAATGTGTAAAATAAACTAAGTGTTGCAGACCCACAACCATATATTATACTTCTTTTAAATACTTACAATTATAAAAACCGGTTTTTACAGCTTAGATTTGTTATATATACATTTTTGATGTGCACTCGATTGGCCTATGCGTCCGAGGATTCACTCCTTTGTATCCATACAAAATGATTCAATTTTAATAATAAAAGTATGCAAACATTTCATCAATGTTTTGTTATGACGTTGTGACGTTAATCTATCGTGCGTAAACCGACCTTAGAGACAATAAATTTTTTTCTTGTTATCCTAGTATCCTAGCTTCTTGTGCCTCCTCCAGCTTTTTGTGGAGGCAAATATCTATATGGATTTCTTTCTCCATTCGCTTTCTGCTTACGCTTCCATCCACCTTTTTTTAAACTACTATAATGATTATATGTTCTTCACGGTATACATGGACATAGTATAATGTTAGTAATAAATTTTAGGAGGAAACGCTACTGCAATAGATCAATATCCGTGGTTAGCGCTCCTAGAGTATTCCAACACACGTTGGATATGTGGTGGAACACTTATTAGCAGACGTTGGGTCCTAACTGCTGCGCACTGTCTCGTCACGCACGAAATGAAGAGCAGAAACGCGTAAGTAATCAACACTTTGTGAGTTATTAACATAATTGTTAGATAGACCCCACCAATTTTTACTAATTACAATGCTTATGTAATAAATGCTTGTTGCATTTTGACTCTAAAACCTTGCAAAAAGCAGGATTTTGACTCTACAACCTTGCTCTTACTGATGGGCAATAACAATAATAATTATCGTCCGGGGCAAGAAACATTCACTCACAGCTTTTGTATACGTCAAATTGTGAAGAACTGTATAAAATGTATCAAATTTTTAATATTTGTTCTAAATCTTAGACAAACAACCTATAAGAACAATCTGAAAGACAAATAAAACTCGTTACAATCCCCTTATTAAGTCTTCATTAGACAGAATGTGATCTTAATTAAGTGATTTTCAGGAAACTGAATCCACAATAGTTCGAGGTCGAAAAACAACATTATCATTTCCTGGTCTTAATATACTTTGTGGTTTCAGACAAAGCGTCCGCCTTGGGGACTATAACATAACGAATCCTGGCATCGACTGTGTTGAAGTCGAGGGTGGTGGCACTGATTGTATTGCTGAGCCACTATCAATTACCATCAATGAAACGATAATTCATCCAGAATATAGGGCTCCAAAAACATTTGTTGAACCAAACGACATTGCATTAATCCGCCTCCAGGAGTTAGCTCCCTATTCAGGTGAGAATTATCATGTTTTAAACACTTCGTGATGAAATCATTTTGAATTAAAAAAAATGTTTATTATGGAATATAAGATACAGGTATCACTTATTCCCCGTCATTAAATTTCAATCTGTAGGCATCCCTACTCATCGGCAAAGAAGACAGAGGATGTAGGCCGAAAGAAAAAGCCGGCGTAAAAAACTCTAGGTACTCTTTTAAATCAGCAAATCATCAAACAACACCTATTTTGAAACAAATATCGCCTTCGCCACCGTCACCGTCGCCACCGTCTAGCACTAGTCCTAGGCCCTTTTATCAACTAGATAATCTTTAACTTTACAGTAAGCCTTTTTACACAGCTTTTCTTTAATACATATCAATTTATTAAAAGGCAGAGATAAAAGAGCTTTTGGGATTTTTTTAAAGAAGAGTATCCCTTTTCCCAAAACAGAATTACCAAGTTTAGATAGTCTAGCACGGGGAAATTGCAGCCTGCGTTTGTTCCGAGTATTAAAATGTTCTATTCTAGTAAACTTATCACTATTTTTGTATACATACATAATATTTTCATAAATATATTGCGAGGGAAAGGTAAGTATATTAATTTCCTTGAATTTATCTCATATAATTATCAGATATTCCCTACATTTTAAATTATAGATTTCATTATCTCTAGTTTGCTGTGAGACTGAGACAAGACTATTACAATCTATTAGCGGGGATTTCCCCTGACAGCAAGCAACCAATGTTGGTTATGCAAAGCTTAATGATCTTACCATTGCAGACTTCATTAGACCGATTTGTCTTCCGCCCTCCGACGTGTTTCAATCACCACCAGCGAATATGAAACTGATCGTGGCAGGATGGGGAGCCATGAGTGAAACAAAATCATCAAGTGACGTTAAATTACACGTGGACTTGCCGTTCTTTGACCAACAGGTTTGTTTATTGCAATAGTGATATATTATATAAAGAAGTGCGTCTTAGGTAACCTTTTTAGGAATAATTGATGCATTGATAAAATCATGAATAAATCAGTGGCACTACAACCTTTTAAGGTCTCGGACTCAGATTTCTGTATGTATTTCATGATCATTTGACAATCGGATAGGCAAGTAGGTGATCAGCCTTCTGTTTCTGACACGTCGTCGACTTTTAGGGCTTAAAGCAAGCCGGTTTCCTCGCAATGTGTGCCTTCGTTCGAGCTAATGTTAAATGCGCACATAAAGTCCTTTTGTGCACAGCCAGGCATCGAACCTCAAGGATGAGAATCGCAAGATGAAGCCACTAGGCCAACACTGCTTTTGATAAAATCAAACTTTGGTTTCTACACTACTATCAAGTATCTTTCCTTTCACCTCAAAAACTTTCACGTTTCCTTGGCATTAAAATAGGATTTCCCGTACGGGATTCCACGCGGAGTTCTCTGATGTAAGGGTCATGACCGGAAATGCTGAACTGGTTTCTTGATATAATAAATTATACGCAAATTGCTCGAAGACAAGTCTTGAAATAGTTTCTTGTTTCTGTCTTTGAACAGGTCCACTAATGACTGTAGGAGATTTTAAATTGACGTAATAATGACAATACCATTATATCATTTATTTATTATCCTCAATTATTGTAATTAACTGAGCTGATTGCCTATGAGCGGCTGGCAGATATTAAAAATAGTTTTATGCTATATTTACAAATGCTACATCATCCATCAATCGGGGAAACGTTTATCAATAATTAGTTATGAAAATAAATGCCAATACTAAAAAAGTATGCGCTGAAATTTTGACTAAGGCTTTTAATACATATGAAAATATTGATAGGACACAATAGCACGTCAAGATTCTAATCAGCTAATATATTTACACTAACAATTAACCTTCATCAAGCTCTATGTACTTTAGACATACTCGTACACATATAACATATCAACTATACTCACCTCTTATTAATATATATAACTTCGATTTAAACATAAATATTTAAACATGTATTTTCTAAACATTCTAACGATTATGAATAATATTTCAATCCCAAAATACAGTAGCTCTATGCTATCTAGGAGTATGTTCAACTTAAAAGCTTATAAAATAAAATTAAGCTCAAGAATCGGACCAGTGTCACCGCTATAAAACACGGTCAAAATCGGCGAGGGACATTAAACATATTATATATATACTAGCAGACTCGGCCAAGCGTTGCTGTGGCTAAGATTTTTGTTATATTACATAGTAGTAAGCTATTCAAGGGAAACGTTATAACTGTTATAAAAAATGCCAGATCAAAATTCTAAATTATTACAGAGCTGCCGGAAACTATATTCCTTGAAGGGAAAACCAATAATATGGGATAAGCAGATATGCGCAGGCGGCGAGGCAAATAAAGATTCCTGTAGCGGCGACTCAGGTGGTCCCCTCATGTACTCGGAGGAAGAAAAGCCATTTCAGATAACCGGTATCACGAGCTTCGGCGTAAAGCAGTGCGGTTTTAAGGGAAGACCCAGTATTTATACTAAGGTCATTTCGTATGTCGATTGGATTAGAAGTGTGGCTAAGCCGTGATTGTATTATTTGTCATACAAACTCAGTCTATTTTAAAGTGTTTATAATAGACATAGATACTTGCATTATAATAGATAATTAAAATTTAGTTATTATCCCAACGGATTGAAAGGTTGTACAAATTTTTTAAAATTCGTAAATTCAAGTTGGAAATTTGAAACATTGTACGATATTAGTGAGAATTGTGAGTTATGATTTTTTATGAGGGAAGAATTAATTGCTTGTTTTAAATAATATAAATCATGACTATAGGCAACAAAGAACGCAAGACGCAATCGCAAAGTAATAATGAAACAATATTTCTAATAGCGTCTAATACAAGTAGAACTATGTAGTCAAAATCTCCACAGCACTAACAGTTTGAAACAATGAACGTAATACTAGACTTTAGTAATGATTATTATGCAATAGGGGTCATATTTGAATATTGTAAATATTAATTTTAATCTACCGACTTCGCCATACATTGCTTATGTTTGTCATTACTGTTGTTAAATTTATATCCAGAAGAAATGGTTAAAACTACTCATTTTATTATATGTCTAGTGTATAGTTATAATATTAATTTTAATTATTTAACTTATAGGTAAACGTGTATTTAAAAATGTATACCCAATTGCAAATAATAGTTTTTGTATAATTGCATTTATCTTAATTAGAATAAATATTTTTATTAAACATATAATTATAATTTAAAAAATATTGTTACTAACTAGAAAAATGCTTAACATTAAATATCCCATAGAATTAAGATTTTAATTATAGAAGCTACGCTTATTCAACACATTAAATACTGATTAAATCATACGTCAAATTACGGTTAGCAAAAAATAGTATATTTTATTTAAACTTCATTCAATTAGTTACAAATCAATCACCTTCAAAAACCTGAACATCAAGTCTCATCAAACAATAACATTAAGACAAAAAACATTCTCAAGATTTTGGCCACGGAAATATTTATTTACAAGAAAATACAAAACAGTTAAATATTTAGTAATTACTGACCAGGGTTAATGTTATTTTTATATTTTATTACCATTTTCTTATTACCACTGATATCCAGATTAAGCATTCTGATAAACGAGCTAGGTCTATACATTTTTCCTTCCCTCACACTTTGAAACCAATTTTATTTTAGGTTTTATAATTTATGAATCGATGTATATCTTTACTCTCTTCATGCCGATAAGTGCTTGTCAGATTAAATTTTTTTTTTTAAATCAATGTATCACTTTTAACAGGCTTTTGTAAATAAATATAGCGACATATGCTCCAGAGCATCGTGTGCACATACAGGCGCTAATGTCATTGGTAATCATTTAGACATTCAATCCTTACACATCCTACCCATCCAGTATAATTCTGTGCAGGCGTTATTTCTAGAAATCTGCTTAATACCATAAACAACAAGCAATTGTCAGTGGACAGTGGCCACTGGGTAGTAGCCAGTAACAATCGAGCGCCTCGCCAAGACGGGCGTGCGTTCGCGCATAACATGACGACTCTACACATAGTCTCCGCGTTAGTTGCAACCTATATGTGCTTCGTTCAAGGGCGTGAGTTTCAAATCCTGTTATAATCGGATGTATTTATTAAGGAAAATGTGTTTAATTATATTGCGTGGCACTTATCTTGTTCATCGCGCAAAATTTGTGGGTGCAATCTGTGTTGGCTCCGATAACTTCAGCCGTAGTCCACAAAAATTGTTTACGACAGAGCGAGTTCTACGTTGTAATAATAATTAATTTGGTATATTTTTTATATGTTTTTATATATTTGATGTGTTTACTGTATATTATTAACAGTTTAAAGTAAAGCTATCAAACTAAGACCGTATTCTAAAATAATAAACTTAGAATATTAACCTACCACAACACGCCGCTAATAAAAGTTAATTAAAGTTAATTTATTAATAAAAAGGACTACAAAAATATCAATAAAAACAAAATCTATTAGACCCTTTAACAGGCAGACGTGCTTTATACTTAATAACGATTACTAACAGAATTCATACAAACTATAAAAATGTGATCTAAAAAGCGAGAGATATAAATGATAAGGTTTAGTAAAATTTTGGAAAATATAGCTATGTGAAACTGTAAGTGAGGTGGAAAGATTCGATAAAAGGGGAAAATGTATAAGCTAATTTCCCACACATCTCAGGAATTAGCAGTGTTAGAACCTAGGATGGTTCTACAAATATGACAAAAGGCTTTATAGGAAAACGAGAATACAGCAGATTAAAAAACATAATCACTATAAAGTAGACACCCTAGTTTGTGATTTTAAATATCGAATTAATTAAAATGTAAAATACTTGTTAAATATGAGTTCTTATTTTAAATAACCTCGGCTCAAAGTTTCCTTTCGCCTAGTTTTTAGACTTTTAATTTGTATGATGATATATTATAGCTGTGATCTGCAGCTGCACCTCTATTAATTCGGTCGTAACGCGATGTTCTATAGCCTTAAGCTTTTCTCAATAAATATAATGTCAAAATGCAAAAATAAGTCTTTATTTGTTGGACGTAGGTATTGATGTCTTGTATATAACTGCAGAACTTTGCTCTATTGTCAATAGTTTCCGCAGGGTAATTTAGGAATTTGTATTAGTCTTTTTCACACCACTATTGTAATATCTATAGCCTATGTTCATCAGGGATAAACGTAGGGTTCTAATGGTGAGTATACAAAAATAATGATAAGTTTACTAGAATAGAACACACGCACAACGTTAATACTCGGAACAAACGCAGGCTGCAATTTCCCCGTACTAGACTATCTAAAGTTAGTAATTCTTTTTTGGGAAAAGGGATACTCTTCTTTAATAAAATCCCAGAGGCTCTTTTATCTCTTTCTTTTAAGAAATGTATTATAGAAAAGCTGTGTAAAAAGGCTGACTATAAAGTTAACGATTATCTAGTTGATAAAAGGGCCTAGGACTAGTGCTAGACAGGCTACTTCTAATTAATTTGCAATATTTGTTTTAAAATAAGTGTTGTTTGATGATTTGCTATTTTAAAAGAGTACCGAGAGTTTTTTACCCCGGCTTTTTCTCTCGCCCTATAAAGAAGACAGAGGGCTCTTTGCCGATGAGTAGGGATCTCTACCTATTCAAATTTAATGACGTGGGATAAGTGATACCAGTATCTTATGTTCCATAATAAACATATTTTATTTTTATGTATTTTTTAAAGAATTTTTCAAATCCAGTAGGTACTTTCGGAGCCTATTCAATGTATTTCTGTATGTATTCCTCTATAATATTAGCATATATATATATACGATGCTGGTAACCAAATTAGTTCCTTTGTATATTAAAAGTGTTCCATCTGAGCTGTATATGAAACAGCTTTTAGTTAATACGTATGAAAGTGAATAACTGTTTAATTAATGGAACATCGACTCTTAACGGTAACTTATCAGTAAACAAGGTATTTTGTTCGAGGCCTCCTTAACTAAGATAAAGACATAAAATAATTTTGTCAAAAAACCCAGCAGTGTGAATTAATTCTAATAAAAATTTCACTGCTATGTGGATCTTGAATAAGATAATAAATTCCATTAATGTTGAAATGAAATTTTTATTCACTGATCTTGTGCTTTTCATTAGCCATGGTTAGCGATAGACAGAGAAAGAGTCAAAGAGAGAAAAGATTTCACATTTATCATAATGCATGTATTCTCATTTATTGTATATTATTATTTATTTATTTACAGCTAATTTCAACCAAAAATACTATACAATTAAGTCATTTTTATAAAAATCAACAATAAATCTTTTGTTAATCTTTTTAAAGTACATTTTAAATAATGTAAACCCAAAAAGAGGGTGATGTCATTCCCAATTTTTTATCAAATAATTCTTATGATTAGACACTAAACCGCCCAAAATACTTTTATTGCCAGTCCATCAAACCTCAACAAATATGTCTTAAAATTAAAAGTAATTTATTATGATTTAATAAAAGTATATTATATTTATAGCTATTTAATTTTATTTTATTTACAATTAAGTATACAGTATTTACAATTTTCTTAACTTAAAAAGTAATAATAAAAATTATTAAAAAGAAAATCGAAACAAATTTAAAAAGTTTGGTTCCCTGTGGCAGTGTAACTTTAACGTGGCAGTATTTCCTCGCTGTATTGCTATACTTATTCGTTGAGCCAGGAAAGTGCCAGCTCTGGGGTCACCGGTACTATCTAATATACGTAGTTTAAAACCATCTTACTAAGACCTCTTTAGTATCGTATTACCTAATTGTTTATACTAGAAATGAGGCTCCAGGTTATATTGGACTTCAAACATTTGTTAAATTAATGTCATCTTTCTTTATATAATTTATAACAATTAAAAAAACTTGTATTGTAACAACTTTTGTCGATGTAACAAGCTACAAAGATGCAAGAAGGTATCAAAAATCTTCCTTGTGTCTTTATCCTTTTGTGTAACATTATTGTTTAGCTTATCAGTTCATCCAAAACACAAACGCCATGTTTAAAAAAAAATATACTTATTTTCAAAGACTAAAATGCCCACGATGCTTCTATTACACTAATTAAATTTAATTGCACGCTAAGTGTTTGTGTGAGAATGCAAAAAACGTGACGAAACTCGATTCAATACTGCGAAATCTTTAATTTGTCTGTAACTTTATAACAGTCTTATTAATGATGATGATGATGAAGGTGATGCAATGGATATTACATAATGTTTTGTGACATTTGTTTGTATACCATTACAAACAAACATATTAATTAATTTTTTATTCGTCAGCTAAGGCCAGCTATAGACGGACCGCATGGTGCAGTCAAGACCGACTGCAATATGCGGTTTGCTCAGGAACTGCTCGAGCGGTCCGTGTATTGCGAATATGAATTTAGTATGGAAACTGCAGATCGCCGTGCGTCGACCGCATATTGCAGTCAAGACCGACTGCAATATGTATGCGGTCCGTCTATGGCCCGCTTTACAGTAGTTATTTATAACATAACTAAAATATTCAATAACGTCAAATAGTACATTTTAATGCTGATTGTATACAAAAACCAACTGCGCTACAAGCCTTCTAGGCGTAGGTGATCACTTTAAATAGGCAAGTAGGTGTTCAGCCTCCTGACGCAAGCCGTGGAGTTTTCGGGTCAAAGACATGCTTCACAATGTTTTCATACAACGTACGAGTGAGTACTAAATGCAATAAAAGTTTATTGAAGAGCCAGATTTGAACCTGAGAGAGGAGAGTTGAACTGGATAAAAAACATTTTTATTTATATCATACAATGATATTGTTTTGTAAAAAATAAAATAACACCCGACAACCTTCGAGATACATCCAAAAATAATTGTTCACCTTGACACGCTAGAACAGATTTCCATCGATTTTTTTTCTAAATTTCATTAATCTGAAACCAATTAAGTTTCTAACAAAAACAACGCATTATAATTATTACCCCCCTCCCCTTTTTTTAATTCCTGAAGCAGAATCTCTGATTTATTAATTCCGAATCATTTGACATCTTGATTCAGATCGGAAACCAAGTCAAGGCCTGAACTTAACTTCAAGTCTGGGTTAAAGTTAATACAATTGACAATTGGAATCAATTATTCATGAAACGTGTTACAAAACCAGTTATACATCAAATTACCACAATTGTCCAAGTTTTTATACGATTACACTATTCTCCCACGGTTTTACAATAGGCTCAACCTTACACTTGAACTGGGTTTTACCACGTGCTCAGTTGGTACTGTTAATATAGATAGCGCTAATGTGTTTATTAATTAAATAAATAGTGATTAAGAATATACCTAATGACAGTCTAGTTACATTTTTTTTAATTGGTCGTAAATGTCTTAAATACATCACAATTACAATCGCCTACACTTAAGAAATAGAGAATTGTTTTCATTGCTTAGATGATATATGCCATTTAGTTACAAAGTTTAAACATAGCAGGTTCATGAATTTATTATAAAAAAACGCGTTATCTCTGGGCATTACCTAAACTTATAACGTATTTGATGCAAAAATATATTGTTTTCATAATAAAATCAAGGTTATCAAAATTCAAATCTTAATCAAAATTTATCAAAATTGTATGTATCAAAATTTAAAATATATCATTTGGGGTAGCCCCAAAAATATATCAGAACATTCAATCGAATAAAGACATTTCGGCAATCATTTGAGACCAGAGTTCAATGGGACTCACCCAATATAGTTATTGATAAAAATAACAACCGGGGAATTCACTGTACAACACGATAATAATGAAACAAACAACACAATCAAAAAGGAAACGTAATATTTCATTTTGAACTTGCAGTCCACCAACTTAAAGCTTGAGAATATACTGAACGTAATTTTATTGGTGGACTTGACCTAAAAATAAATAAATATGTTAGTACTGATTATTAGCTTCATTAGGCTATAGTGAGCCAAAAGAAACATTAGTTATCCAAGAAATAATAAATTGCATTGACCACAGCCTGCAATCATCAACAATGGAAAACGCTGGTCAAGAAATACATGCTGATAAAGATGAGACACGACAGCTTGATGGTAAAAGGTAACAATAATTCAGGTTCAAGAACACAATATGGTTGAGGATACACATGGGTATATGCATGCGAGGGTGTTGTGTTACAAGCGAAAATAATAAAAATACTTATATGAATTGAGGAAAATGATATAAACTTTAAAGCTAATCGGTTAAGGAATGTGGTCAGTTTAGAAACAAGTTGAAATCAAAATATTATATCTATATGCCATTTTACCCTAGATCACTAAACTTTTTTTTTCAAACTCTGTCACTAAACATTAGTCCTACAAACTAACAAAATAAAACCGCAATATTTATCAAAACTAGAGTATTTATTTAGAAAAAGTCTACTTAAAATATGGAATGTCTTTTAAATTACCACATAATAAAACAAAAGGTTAAAAAAATTATTCTTGGCAGTCGGCACACACTGGAACCGTATGTTCCCCGCAAATCGCCGTCTTGCAGCGGCTGCAAACATATTTAGTCATCCTGTGTTTTTTGTAAGGACAAAAAGAACATATTTTACGCTTATTTTGTTGCGCTTGAGAGGTACTAGGAGTAGCATCTTCAATTTTTAAAATATCTTTAATACTAGCTTTTATATCCCTCCTCAAACTGACAGTGTTATACCGCTCTCGTAACCATGGCTCTATGAGCTTATCGGCTAAACTTTGGACGAAACTCCTACGTCTCATTGGTTTTTGCCGTTCTCTGACCATGTTCGACACATAGATGACATATGAATTAATTAGGCACAGGTTCAAGACATTATAAAACACGCATTGAGGCCATCTATTGGTTTTGCGATTGACACATATAGCTGAGCACATTTGGTCGACAGTGTCGACAGCACCTTTGGTACTATTATAAAAATGTATAATTTCAGGCTTTTTCGAAGTGGAGTTAATGTCTGGCTGACTGTGTACTGTCGAAAGAAGAAATACTGTCTTGTTAGATTTTGGTTTATACGAGACCAGAGTCTTCTCACCATCAAATGCAAACATCGAAGTATGAATCTTTCTTGATTTTTTGTTTTTCATCTCAGGTAGAATCTCTCGCTTATTACTACGTATTGTCCCAACAAGTGTGAGTTTATACGGGTCCTGAAGTAATTCTGAAGCAAGTGGCACTGAAGTGAACCAGTTGTCCATCGTAATATTTCTGTTTGTCCCATAGACAGGCTCACAGAGTTGTTTCACAAAATGTGTGGCAAGAGGCATATTATCGCAATTGGTTCCTTTACCCAAATAAGGCGTAGCATTGTATACGTACTTTGAATTAGAATCTGCAACCATTACAATTTTTATGCCGTACTTGTTAGGCTTATTGGGTATATAAATTCGAAATAGGCAGCGCCCTCTGAACCCAACTAATTGCTCATCGATTGTCAGATAGGAACTTGGCTTGTACCATTGTTTGCAATGACCAATGAATTTCTCCCAGAATTCTCTTATAGGTGCAAATTTATCGGATGCTCTTCTGTCTTGTCTGGTAGCTTTGTCATCAAATCGAAGGCATTTAAGCAAGAAATCAAATCTCTCAGCGCTCATGCAGGCTTTGAAAATGTTACCACTCCTTCTGTCATCAAACAATATTCTCGTGGGTAAATGATTACTTTTTATAGCAGCTGATTGCATAAGAAGACCCAGTAAAGCTTTTAGTTCAATAGCTGAAGTTGGAGAAATAGTATGAGTGAGTTCCTTGTACTTCACCTTTTTTATTTCAATCTCTGCATTTGTGTAAATAACAAGTTGGTCAATCATTTCATCAGATAAATACAAATGAAATATTGGAAGTGGTTCTACCAAATCTCTTGCATCACTGTTAGGTCCGGGTACAAAATGAATAATGTTTCGAGCCGATGCACGAGTGTTTGAAGAGCGTGGAGTAGTTGCCCACTTATGTTTGTTTTTTCCATAAATGTATGGTCTCTCAGGTTGTATTACCAGATCCTGGTGAGAAGCTATGGGTGGACAAGGCTGCAAACACTCCAAAGAATCATCATCAGAATCTAGGATTCTGTTTCTGTTACGGCTTCTCCGGGAAACATTTAGATCTTCATCAGAAGAACTCGACGAATCATCTTCAATTTCGTCGGTATCCTCGACTAAGTCCTCCTCTAAGTTGTCATCAGGTTCGGAGTCCGAAGGCACACCAGATGGTCCAAAAAATGGTGAATCGTCATCGTCATTATCTGACTCGTTCAAAATCTGCAATATTTTATCTTGATCTCGTATCAAATCCATCTGTAACAGAAAATACTGCTAAAACAAAATGTTCAAAATCTCATAAAAAAATAAAAAATGATAATAAGTTCATAAAATAAATATTGCTCGTAGTATCACACATATTTATTATTCATTTACATTAATCAGTAATTAGTTATTATAGATAAAATCGTAAATAAAAAGAAATATTTCATAACTTACCTTTCTTCACTTTTGTGGCGCAATTACTAAACATTAGCCTGAGAGACTACTATTGCGTAATATCTCTGGAAGTAGGAAGCGTGCGTACGCAATGCGAGTTCACGGGTCACTGATTGGCCGAATTAGGAAGGTACTGAGCGGCTGAGGGGGTGCGGTAACGGGAACATACATAAACAGCGAATGCGTCAGAGTCGTGTAGCCTGTGAGACTAATGTTTAGTGATCTAGGGTTAAAAGCACTACTGCATATATTGATCAGCACAAGAAGAAAGGTCGCACAGAAGCTATTCTATAAAATTCGTATACGTACGCTGCACATTAAAGGTTACTTGAGGTAATGGCACAGCACTTAAAATCCGCAGGAACTTTCCAGACTGATAAGGTATGAGATATGAAGATGCCCTCCATTAAAGTGTTAACAAACTCATCTAAAACATTTGCGTAGGTACAAGGCTCCACTTATTCAACTATGAAAGGTAGAAATTCTTCACCCTAAAAACTGTTCTTAGATTCTTGGCCGTAAACAGAAGTAGTAAAACGTTAAATTTTGGTAAAAACTTTTCTAAATAATTGCGTTAAATGTACAATTATAAGAAATTCGTAAATGTGGTGTCGAAAAGTGACCTGGCCGCGCCTGTCCCACGTCAGACACGAGTGGAATCGGATGGAGGAGGCCTATGTCATGTAAAATGTTACATTTTACCTCCTCCATCCGACAGGAAAAAAACTTTTTAACCGGATTAAAGTTATGTATTATTATAAATTTACAATTATTTAACATTTCCCCGGAGTTGGTATCGACTAAACTCCGGGAAAATAAATACAGATAATGCAACTTTTTCTACAGCTGTGATACTTTTTGACACCCAACACCTTTTGTCTTCAGTCACCGTGACCACGCACGCTGTAAAGCACGCGAAACGTCTGATAAATTTAAAATTATGTTAAATAATTGTAAATTTATAATAATACATAACTTTAATCCGGTTAAAAAGTTTTTCCTTTAAATGTGTAAAGGTTATGTCAATAAAAGACAATACTATGTTACATTTTATTTTACCTACTGTTAAAAGTTATTTGTTTTAGGATCCATATAAATGAAACTTCAATGTTCCTAATTAAGTTTTTGAAATAAAGGCTATTATTATTATTATCAATGGTAGAAGCTAATGTATGCACTATTGCACATATACTATGCATCTACAGTTCCATGGATTTTTCCTATGCTTTAAAAAAATTTGTTTGATATAAAGTTGACCAGAGTAACAAAACCATAAGGAATTAGTATTAAGTTACTTCAGTTTAAACTTAATCTCGATGTAGTCAAACGTATCTAGAAGACAACATTTTGTAAATTATCTACGTTTCAAATATTGACAAAATATAATTCTAAACGCATAAAAAGTGAAAGAATTAAATTGATTCACATAAACATTTTTGTATCTAATCTATGCATTATAAGGAAAATGATATCAAATATTTATGCAATTTATACAAATTGCATTAAATTGTTTCAACTGATAAATTATTATAATTAACTGTATTCAGACACACACGCTGTTGTATAATAACTTTTTAAGGCATGATAAAATAAGGTACTAATCTGTGCTATAACTTATATAACTATAACTATAACTTGTTCTGTGGATTTTTATGACCTAAAAAGGTATACTTTTAAAATTAATAACGAACAATTTAAGGATATTATATATACCTACCGTACTCGCCTTTATGTAAATAGTATTTAAATAATGGATAATATTATAATAATAAAAAAAACATGTATGTAATTCACACGTGGTAGAAGTGGAACCTTAAAAAATTTTGGTTTCAAGATAATGAGATGAATTTAATTTTTATTTTTAAATTTATATCAATTATTAATTTTGATAAAAACTACAATGAATAAAAAAGTTTTTATAATTAACAATATGTAAATTAGACTTTTATTTACTATCTAAATGAAGTATTAGAATTTTATTTAAATTGTTGTTTATATTTTATTTTTTAAGTTTAATATATAATATCAAAACTAGCTGGCCTGGCGAACATCGTACCGCCTAACAGTCGATTCTTTATTTTTTTTAAATACTTATTCTGCTATTCGGGACACCGGTCTAGCTAGTAAGATAAAAAAAAGACAGTTGATAAGAATCCAAATACATTATGTTAAAAAATAAAAAATTCCCTTCCCGGAACCCCTCCACTAACACTTGAACTTTATGGTATGGTATTAAAGTTGAAATTGACTTTTAAGTATTATTACGAATATTTTGTATGGGAATATATAAGTGTTGTTTTTAGACTTTTCACTCAATTTTTTTAAATTTTTCTCTCCGTAAGAACCATCCTCGTACTTCAGGGAATATTATAAAAAAAGAATTGGCCAAATTGGTCCGGCGTGTTGACTTATGCGCTTACCAAAACTTTTTGCGATTAATTTTTATATTATAAGATTAGATTTATCAATCTTAAATTTTAACAGAAAAAAAATCTAAAATAATTAAAGTTTGAAACAATAATGCTTTCTGTCTTATTTTCTCCCAGGTTAAATTCTTTGAATATATGTGTTTGTCTCTTTTTCGTTTCTTCGACTTTCAAATCACAAACGATGCAATGAAGTTTTCACCTCGCTATTTGCAGCAGCAACTTGTCAGCTACCATACAAAGATAACGTAAACATATTTTCACAACATAAATGTAGTTTTTTACTATGTATTTCAGAATCACCATGTATGACACCAAATGGTGTCACCGGCCAGTGCATAAATATAAACGAATGCAAAGATCTGTTGGCAATACTCGACAATCCGCAACGTTCAAAAGAAGAAATTGAACTCTTGAGGCGATCACACTGTGGATTTGCAGACAAGGTGCCAATGGTAAGTTCAGATTGTAAACGCCATGTAAAACAAAAGACGATGTGTTGGAGAAATAGACTGATGTATGTTTTGGACTAGAAATTCTGTTGACTAATAACAATAAGAGCAGAGTTGGCCTAGTGGCTTCAGCGTGCGACTCTCATCCTTAAAGTCGTAGGTTCGATCCCCGGCAGTGCACCAATGGACTTTCTTACTGTGTGCGCAATTTAGATTCGCTCGAACGATGAAGGAAAACATCGAGAGGAAACCGGCTTGCCTTAGACCCAAACAGTCGACGATCTTCTGGTTGATTACCTACTTGCCTATTAGATTAACAAATGATCATGAAACATATACATAAATCTGAGGCCCAGACTTAAAAAGGTTGTAGCGCCACTTATTTATTTTATTTATTAATAACAATAAACTAAGTTTTAATGGAGCATACCTACAGATTAACAAAATTAATATGGCTTCGAACCTCGACTTTATTATAGAAACACGTAACCAAATTCCCCTGCATCATGAACACAACCCACATACACACCCTCGCGTACATACGCATTCACACCATCACACAGTACAGTCGTATTAGGTATAACGTATTTAATCATTTTTATTGATTTTTTTCCTTTTCAAATTCTATCTTTGGCTATATGTTTAGTATAATTGTTTTTTTGTGGTATATAATTTATGTGACCTATATAAATACGAAATAAATAAATGAATATAAAGTCGGGAATCAGTTTTAAATAAAATATCACCACCTAATAACAAACGATATACACTTTATCATTTCCTTCATTGATTAATTTGATAATAATTAGACATAGTTTAGTTATTACTCGTATTATTTTAATTACTATTGTGTATGAAATCGTTGCCATGCTATAAACATTATACAGATACAAAATTGGTTAATATTTGCAGGTTTGTTGCCCCCAAATTACACCGCCGTTAGACCGACGATGTTTCACCTACGAGGGCAAAGAGGGAACATGTCTTGGATTGTACTCCTGTCCACTATTAATGGGTCTTCTAAAACCTCCAGTGTCGAAGGACAACTTGAGTTACGTACAATTATCGAGGTAAGGCTGGTCTTGGCAAAGATTTATTATCATTTGCGACCTTTTTTTTTAGTCATAACGACCAGACTCTTCTCAAAATATATTCGATTTATGAGTACAAAATATATACCTGCAAATGTTATCATAAGCAGGGGTCACACGGTCAATAAATATCGTCAATATTTAATGATGTGTAAACGCGGCAGAAAAATTATTGAGCATATTGACATAAAATCTAGATTTTTTGTGACCCATCAATATCTGTAAATATTTATTAGCTGTGTAAGCGTGTGTGCTGTCAATATCAAAATTAAAGCATGAGATGTTTCAAGAAATTCTTTAAACGAACTCCCTGTAGAAAAATATCGTAAAGTAACTGATAATTTTTCTCTCGCAGTTATGGAATTTTCAAGTATCTTTTGCTTGGTTGGTATGTCGCAAAATCATATTTAATAATCTTTGAAAAGAATATCAATCATACGAAAGTAATTCTTGTAATCTCCAGCGTCCGAAATCTTGATGTCATTAAATAAATTCAAACACATTTATCGTCCATTACTACGAAACACATCTACTCGGTAGAATGATCTTTTGACTACTGACAAAACTGAAGTAAATACCTATTGAAAGTGTAGAACGACCAGTTGATTCAATACATATTGAGACAGGTATATTGAATCGCGATATTTATTGACCTCTGATCCCTGCCATTGCTTTGTATTTAAAGTAAATTTTGTGACCTTTAACCTTTGCTGGGTTACTCCAATGCAGACAGGTTTCAAGGTCGTGTCTAAACCTGTATATTATTATATATTAGACACTGCTATTGTGATCAATTTTGCAGATGCGAAAGCCCAGACCGGTACAGCGTGTGCTGCGGTCCCGATGAAGCAGTGCCTCCTGCTCCTGGTAAACAAGCCATGTGCACCCTCACTGCCGCACCACCTGACCCTCGGACCGAATGCTGTGGACTGGATAGCGGAGGAGGGAATAGGATATTTGGTATAATACAATCAAAAAATGTTGACTTAGTAGTTGACACAAGTAGAGAAAACTAACCAAGTAATAATTAGGACATAAATTCACTGTGCACATACTAAATATGTATGAGCAGTATTACTCTAATTATTTAAGTTCACCACATCATATATGTTACAAGCTATCTTGTATCAAAATACTTGACAATTATTGTAAACATAATAGGTAGAATATAAATTTCATTTCCAATTTTACATTTTTTTGACATTAAGCAAAAAATTACAAGTAAAATAGCGTGATTAGGTATCAGATAGGCACTTGCTTTTTTTTTAATTGTTCAGCCCACTAGCGAAAATATCAAGCTCTGGTAAGGCGAGTCCCAAAAGATTTTGTCGATGCTCGCAATTAACACTTATTCGTAGGGAGAGAAAACATATAAATTTTGCATGTTTTGGACAAAAACCACTTAGTCTAATCCCCTTATGAAGAAATGTATCTCCAGGAAACATAAAGTCATCCCGTTTCTAAAGCAGGGTCCACACTATGCCGGGGTAGGCCGGGCGGGCTGACCCGGGCGGCCTAAGCCGCGTTGATGTAGACGCCCCGGGCGGCTTTGCCGGGTTAGAAAATGCCGGCCCGGGCCGTGCCGATCCCAACCCGCATAAAGTAGGTACAGATCAAAGGAAGCCGAGCCGAGCCGAACAAAAATATAGAATGGGGACGTGCCGAGCGCCCCGAGCGGCTTCAGTTACAATTAAACCTCCGACCGAAGTAGACGAATTATTTTATTTTCGATTCAGTTTGTTTAAGTAGGGTTTTTTATTGTTCATTTTAAGTACTCTTCAACTAAATCACCAGTCTTGGTGTTGAAACTAAATAATGTAGGTAGAAATAGCCCGGTTGGCTTCGTTTTCAGTGTGAACGTCGTGCCGGCCCGAACGTACCCGCCCGGCTTAGCCCACCCGGGTCAACCCTCCCGGCCTACCGCGGCATAGTGTGGACCCTGCTTAATGTTGAACGCTTGCAGTTTATTGGTACCACACTCCTAGTGGGTAGTTTAGAGTATTATCAATATTACTCGAACAACTGCTCAGTATTAGACAAAGTGAATTTCCAATTGTACTTTAATTTCGCCCACTTCTTAAGGAACAACTCAATACGAATACCATTCCTTAAGTATCACAAAATGTACCAGGGAGAACCCGAGATTACATTATCAGTAAATGTCTGATTCCAATGTTTGCTCAACATCTGATATAATCAATTTAAACATCATATAAGATATATTGTATTAATAGCGCAATAATTTACAATTAATTTAAGATAGAATCTCTAAAAGTCCGTATGACAACCAAATAACACATTATGCTCCCCATGTCCAGGTGGAAACGTAACAGCCATCGACCAGTACCCATGGTTGACGCTCATCGAGTACAGAGGTGTTCGAGACGATAGGATTAAGCTGCTTTGTGGTGGGGCCCTCATCAGCGGTCAGTATGTGCTGACCGCAGCACACTGCGTTGTTGGACCAGTATTAAATAGCGGAACGCCGTAAGTTTGAAATCAAGATTGTAGACTTTGTATCTACACGACGATATTTACTTTTTTTTATAAACAGGGAAACTTTTGTAAAATAATTATAAAAGTAATATTTATTAATATTAGTTGTGGAGGGACTCCAGTATTTGCTGCAATATTTAGAAACTCAGGAAAACACAAATATGGTCAAAATTATTCTGATTTTTAAAGGTGACTAGTGCATAATATGTTTCAGAGTGATTAACAAATCAGAAAAAAAAGCGTGACACGTTTTGCTATGCTATGCGTTAATAATGTTAACATTTTAATTATGTCAACTGTATGGAAATGTTATAGTACACATATGTATATGTTTTCGAATACGGTTGCTCGGTTTGGTGAACTAGTTCCACAATACGATTTATTGCTACCACATAACATCTCGAATAAAATTAATTGCAGCTCACTTCTAGAAAAATTGCCCTCCCACGTACCTGTCTACAAGACTCGTAATCGTGTTTTGTTTCATGTTACTCACATCAGCACCAACTATGCAAAAAAACTCAGTTTTGTATCGCGCATCCCTGACATACAACATCCAATATTTAAGCCTTGACTTGTTTAAGCTATCGCGGAATATGCTTATGAGCATTAAGAATATCCACAGCGCAAAATCCCCTGCATCATGAGCACATCCCACATATACACTTTCGCGTACACTTTTACACCATCACACAACACAGCCAAATTATTACTTAGTGTATTAAATCATTTTTATTGATTTTCGCTTTCCAAAAATATTATGTATTACATCATTGGGTATATTTTTAGCGTAATTGTTTGTTATTATATGTAATTTTTGTAAGATATAGAATTACGAAATAAATACATCTATTTATTCGCTCTTTACATATGTTTATGTACAACATTAGGTACGCTACAACTCCATTTAGGCTGCATCAAAAAAATTCTAGAAATTAAGGATGAAAACTTATACCGAGTTGGAAATGGCTCCTTTTACTTTTGTGTCCAAAAACAGACCCAGACTATGTCGAATACGTCCAATACAGTAGTTTTAAGTTTTTCAATTCAAACACATATAAGCTTAATAATATTTCAGAATAAACGTGCGTTTGGGTGAATACGACGTGAGCTTCAGTGGTAGGGACTGCGTGCAAGTCGAGGGTGGAGGGACAGACTGTACGGACCCTGTGGTCACTATAGCTATTGAGAGGACCATTCCCCATAAGGATTACAACCCTTCCGCTAAACTGAGAAGGAACGACATCGCATTGTTGCGATTGGCACAGATGGCACCTTATACTGGTAAAGTAAATTTAGTTCTAATCACAAGCATAATGTTCGCTTAAATATGATGAAATACTTTGGTACAAATAAATTTTGTCGCTGGACTCTTTCTTGCATACAACTCGTTAGCACGGATGAAATGATTCCAAAATACAAAATCTTTTCTAAATACATTAAACTCCCTTATAACACGGTACTCTTATAACGCATTTCCATATTACGCAATTTCAGTCCTTCGTATAACACAGGTATTCCCCCATATAACGCGGGGATGCCCCCGTTATATTTCTGTACTGTGACATTTATAATGATTTGTACGCACGCATATTTTAAATCGCCTTTAACGAGAAAAGCAGGGATGTTATGGAGCTCCGTAACCGTAACCGAAACAATCGGATATCCGAAATAAATCTATATCCGTAACCGTAACCGTATCCGTTTCACAAGTTTCGGATATATTTCGGATAAGGGTGGAGTCTTAAATCTAGATAAAACTACATGTTTCGACAGGTTTTTGTTAGTGGTTTCATTACTCACAAAAATAATTAAAAAGAAAACATTTAATATGTTGTACATCGGTTATAAGTTAATATGTGCAATGTTTTTGTAAAGCTATGAAATTTATTGCACTTTTATAATTACTAATAATAATTACTTACCTATATGACCGATTATAATACCAACTGATAACCTAGACTAGATAAAACCTATATATAAAACTAAATTATTACATACTATGTATTTGTGTTTATATTTTACTTCAATCTAATAACCGTAACCGAAACTATCCGAAACTAACGGATAATCCGAAATAATTACATATCCGTAACCGTATCCGAAACCGATATAATTTTATTCCTATATCCATATCCGTATCCAGATCCGAAATATCATATCCATAACACCTCTAGAGAAAAGTTAAACGTGAATCATTTGTACATAACGTCATATGGGGTCGTATAAGCGCGTTATGCGAAAATACTCCTACAACGCGATTCCTATAACACATTTTTAGTATTTTATTTATGTTTTTTATCGATATTTGAAGATATTAAAAAAAATAAAAAAAAAGCTTAACCCAAACTCCACTATTATCTAAGCCATTTTGCATATCAATGAAGCACATACCACTTCCTTATAAATTCTTCTTTCGACAGATTTCATCAGACCCATATGCCTTCCTACCACGGACATAACGCTCAACACAATGACCAATATAAGACTGGAGGTAGCAGGCTGGGGAGCTATAAGTGACACAGAGAGCTTCAGCAATCTTAAGTTACATGTAGACCTGCCGTTGGCTACCAAACAAGTAAGATACTACTTTTAACTTAGAATGAATACCTTGAGACAAATGAGCAAATTCCCGGTGACATTTCTTCTCACATGCATGGTAGGTTGCGTGTTGTGTTTTGAAATTATGAATGTTTTGTCAGAGCCAATATTTAAAAATAACAATTCGTATAGGATCAATAGTCACAATAAATCTAAAATGGTTTTTAATGTCAAATATAGACCATTGTATTGTTAGGTACATAGCAATGTTCTATATGAATTATACGCAAATATTCTTTGTTTCATTTTTTTATAATTCCCCGACTATGTAGTCATCGGAGGTATTAAATAGCTTACGTAAATGGTATTTAATCCGAATGATTAAACACTGCTACCTATTTATTTTAATAACTTTTTGTATGACCTTTACAGCAAATTCCAAAAAGATGCTTCTTAACCTAATGTTGAACATAATTTTCTTTGTTTCTTTAAACACATGAGTACTTTTTAGTTACATATGTATCTCAAACAAATCTTGGGCAGTGAATTCGACAATTAATTCGTCATGATCGTAGAACAATGTCGGATTTAAAAAAAAGTCCAAAATCCACTTTTTATCATATTTGGATACAGTTGTTACATGGTTGACTAAAATATAATCAAATTATTCAGTCGGTCAAGTGACGGATTTGATAGAAACATGTGATTTTTCTAGAAAACTGTGTAATTTAATGTTATTATTTTTATTTTGTTTCCAAACAAACCCTTTTGTTTACTTCTATGCCAATTTTCATAATAAGAGAATATGAATTTATGAAAAAACAGTTATGACAAAAACTAACATGATTATTTTATTTTGAAATGGCTGACCTGTAAAGTTTACTATTTGTCAGATCCGTCACTATTCTACGACTATGACGAAATATTCGAAAAATCTTCAAGTAGCTACTGATCTAACATTATCTGCGTCATTAATATATATCACAAATAAGTATAAATTAACATAACAAATTACAGCAATGCGAGCCATATTACGCCCAAAGACAAGTGCCATTATGGGATGGTCAAATTTGCGCTGGTGGTGAAAAGGGAAAGGATTCCTGCAAGGGTGACTCCGGTGGACCTCTTATGAACGAGAACGGGAAGGTTTGGGAGGTGGTGGGCGTGGTGAGCTTCGGACCAACACCTTGTGGAATGGAAAACATACCTGGAGTTTATACGAAGGTTTACGATTACCTTCCGTGGATTCGTACTCAGATGAAACCTTAATTTAATAACGGTTATAGTGAATTTTAAAGAAGTTTTGTAAATCACGACGACTCATTGGTCTAGTGGTTAGTACCCCTGACTGCGAATCCATGGGTCCCGGGTTCGATCCCCGGCTGAGACGAACATCGATGTGATGAGCATTTGGTGTTGTGCTTAGGTCTTGGGTGTTTAAATATGTATTTATATGTCTATCTATCTATAATATGTATGTATATCCGTTGCCTAGTACCCATAACACAAGCTTCACCAGCTTAGCATGGGAATCGGGCAATTGGTGTGAATTGTCTTTAAAAAAAAAAAAAAAGATAGTATTGTGAGAAATCAAAGCAACAATACGAAAATAGAATAGTTACATAGTCCATTGAAATGTTACAAGGGCTGAACATTTGCTAGATGACCCAATTTTATTCATGGGACATGTAGGGGTGGGGGGGGCCTTGTCCCCCAGCCGCCATTTTGGAAAAAGGTGTGACAACACGTTTACGGCTATATTATCTCCTAAACTATCCATCGTACTTAAATTTGTAAAGACATATTTTGTAGCAAATCGCTTTGCCTACAATTATGTCTGGGTGACTTGGGTTTAAGCTTGTATTGACCACCCCTACATGTCCCATAAATAAAATTGCGTTCTCTAAATGTTCAGTTTGGCCCTCAAATTGTAACATTTCAATGGACTAACAATAAATATGAAAAACAAGCGTTCCGTTGGCCAATTTGAAACTAAAGGGACGATTAGACGATTTTAAGATGTGTTCAAGCTATCAATAATAATGAATAACTAAAAACTATTGATAAATAATTGGAAAATTTAAATCTCATTTAATGAACTATGAATATGTATAACACCAATTTTACCATTATTAGACATATTCCAGGTATATTTTGTCACTGAATATAAAGCCAAAAAAGTATCTCTTCAATAAAATGAATATATGTTACATATCATAAAACAATATTAGATTGTATTTAGTATTGTCCTGTTTAAATGTTTTAATTGCTTTGTTTTGTTCCATTAGTTTTGTCTAAATAACCATGTCTGACGTATTTTTGCACTTTTTACGCTTACCTTATTTAATTTCATTTTTGTTTCCCTCATTTTTATTTAATTATCAATTGTATTATATTTCTGTACAACGAAGTGTTAATAACTAAATATATGACTAAACGTTCTGTAGTTTTTAATGTAGTAGGTATATAATTATAATATAAATTATAATTAAATAATTTAAATTACTACTTTTCGTATAGTTTGGGTTCGTATATATATAATTATTCTGTGAGTGTGTATGTCACTGAACTTCTCTCAAACGATTGGACCGATTTTGATGAAATTTTTTGTGTGTGTTCAAGGGGATCTGGGAATGGTTTAGATTAATCAATCATGACAAATCAGCCCGGCAGATGGCACTGCAGTCGGTACTTTCATACTTTGCTTAATATCCTAATCGCTTTAAATATCATGCAGGACAACGTCTGTGGGGTCCACTAGTACATACATAAAATTGTAATCTGTATAATCATTTTAAGATATGTACAGATACATTATTTATAAGAGACATGATAATTAAGATAAAATACATGTTTATCGGTTAATCATTGAATCTTACGCATAAGAGTAAAACATTAATTGTGCCTATTACTAAGTCAGAGGGACAAATGAGTAGATAAAAACTATATAAAATTATATACAGACATATATTAGTTTTAAAAAAATGCTTGTACAACATGTGCATATGAATGTAGCATTTGCTCGATATTGCAAAGTAAAAGATTGTTTTTTTTAATAAAGATTGTATGCATTAAAATATATTTATTACTGATAGCAAATATTCAGTGGACATATATACTGTTATCGTGAACTTTGACTTTGATTAAACGTCGGTCTAAAGTTGGTTACGAATTATTTAAATAAGTTTTTATACAAAATGTGTTCAAAACTGCTTACTCTGAAACTTCGAGTAGCCCGATCCCATTAATTAGTTTTTGTTCCTCACAATCCCAAGGCTGCCTCAACAGAGCACTAGCATAATAAACGACGGGATTTGTATCACTATTGCATTGAAAAACTTTCTAAAGAAAAGCTTTACTCAATAAAGCTTAGTTATTTTTCAAGTGTGTTTTTGTATAAACGTATTGTTTTTAGAAAAACTTTGTATTTGTTCTGTGTAGTAATAAAAAATATTTGGATAAATTTGTTGTTTGTTATGTACGGGAAGGTTTTAAGGAACTCTTTGGTAACTTAAAAAAAGTTAATGGCGCTACAACCTTTTTCGGTCTGGGCCTCAGATTTTGGTATCTTTTTCATGATCATGGTGCACAGCCGGGGATCGAACCTACGCTCAGGGATCAGAATCGCACGCTGAAGCCACTTGGCCAACACAGCTCTTCTCTCTCTTATGGGTTACTTATGTTAGAAAATTTGAACATTCACAGCTTATTGCATTGGGTGTTGTAACGCTAGTGATTTATCATTCCGAGCCTCCCTTATAAACTATTTTTTATAAAATAGGAAGGTAACCAGGGCATCTTTAGACTTAGAAAACCTCCACCTCGGAAGTTTAGAACCAAATTGGCAGACAAAAGTCCAACACAAGATCGGTAAAAAAACATTTATTCATCTATTAACTATCATTATCAGGAGCCACATAAGCAAGAGCTAAACAGTTATTGAGTTACAAGGTCGAATCGAACATCTGGCCTTAGTTTAGTACTTATATTTAAAACTTTTGCAATGACCAGCTTAAAGTTGTTGGGGGTGGTGTATCAATAGAGATGGAGCCAGTTAGCTTATACTCTAGGATTGGCATGCCGACAACGCTACGCTTTTCCTCACAAAAAAGACCAATATATAAGGTCCATGAAAAAAAAATTGTATGAAAGAGAATTGTGTGTAATGTTTTAAAGAAAAAAATTAAGGTTAACAGTTCAGAACGTTTGCTATAGATGCTCAGAATTCGTTAGGTCATTGGCTAACAGTATAACATTCGTAAAGAGTTAACGGTATTTAATAAAGATTCTTAGCGCAGATCCAAACAAAAGCTAAAAAATCTATCGAACAATACATATTTATATGCATACTTTACCGATTTAAATAAATTATCTAACATTAGAAATAATGATACTTCTTTATTGATAAGAGCTTGCCAACGCTCGGCACACTGATACATTGGTAAAAGAACAAAAAACAATCTTTAATTTGACAAGCACATACAAGCAAACATGACGTACAGAAGATATAATACAAAAATTACACAAACCAATTTAAATTACAAAAACTAAACAAAAATCGATTTTAAAATGTAAGGGGCGCAACTATTGATATCCAGACCTAGCTGGTTTATCAGAATGCTCAATCTGGACATCGGTGAGCGTTGACCAAAACGCGTTCTTCGGGAAGTAGGGACAAATGGAATGATAGTCTATATTTCACCCGCACTCATTCCCGCACCAAAATCAAGTCATGTTTAACCTAACCAAACAAGGCCTAATGCCCAAAACACTGTCACAATTGATTCATTTTTGTAAATCTGTATTCGCTTATAAATAATAAATATTTCCTTGTATTATAAAAACATACCACAGCGAAAACCAGTCCCAGTCGACCACTGTACGTTGCGCGTGCGTCATGTGTAAATTACAAATACTGTTGTTCTGCTATTTAATCGTGTTTGCTACTGGTGAGTTTATTAATTCAATACTTTATTCATATGTGAATGCCATAGTATCTTAATGCCGACTTCATTAAAAATATTATTAGCAACAGGTTAGCTCCAAGATTAAGATTTTAGACATATCATTCAACAATTATCATGACTAAGCCAAACATTGCCCAGTTTACCATAAATTGTTATATTTTATTTAAATTAGATTTAAATATTGCATACACTATAACTATTTAAAAATTATTAGAAATGACTCAATGTTTTCGTACCAATTTTTTTTTTTATATTTCACTTATTAAGAATGAAATTAATTTGAGAAATCCTTGGCTTTATTAATCAACAAATTCTTGTATGAATCCATACAAGAATTTGTACTTTTTGTGTTAGTGTAAGTTCAAAAAATTAAGATTAGTTTTGTAAATGTTCTAGTATTTGTATTTGTATGGCCACTTTTAGCGTAAAAGCCTCCTCTATATGTTTCCATTCCTCTTTGTCTTGAGCAACATTCATCCAGTTTTTCCCCTCTAGTTCTGTTCATCTTTTCTTTTGTCGTCCTATACATCTCTTTCCAGTAGATCCAGTCCATTTTGTTGTTTCAAGTGTCCATATTTTATCCCGTAGGTAAGTATGTAGGTGGAGGACGCCCAGAGGGAGATTCACCACCGCGAGCGCGTGTGGTACCCCTGGGGTTGTTTCTCTTTGTTCTGCACCTTCATACTTTGGGCAGTGGTCTGTTCTGTTGCCATATTAAAATATTCCAGAAACATTAAGTAGAACAGAACATTAAGAAAATCGTTCCATGTCTGTATTTCGGTTATAAATACATACTAACTTTGAGATTTAGCACGATCACTATAGTAGGTCCTTTTTAATAGCTTTTAAAAGCTGTAAATGTTGTGTATATGTCGCAGCTAACTAGCTAATAATAATATGAATATGACTCAAGCAATTTAATTTTAAAAGAAATATTTTGTATGTCATATGGTTCATCTTTTTTATTTCTGCCAAATAATCACTCTATCGTACGAATGGTCTACCCAATAGCCAGCCAGTTTATTAAATGTTGTAACAAACGCTACGGTTGAACATATTTCAGGCCGCTACTTAAACAGCACCGTTTAGTTAAAAGGCTAGGCTGTTAATTGAACGGCTAATTAAGCTAATTGGCTGCGACTTATACATGAAATACCATCTAGTGCCCAAAATAATTCACTTTTGTATTCGTGATTGTAGCAAAACTCTGCAAGGTCCCAAACGGCGATGCAGGCGAATGCAAGGCGATATCAAAATGTCCAATTCTGAACGAACTGGACAACAAACCATACAAAAGCGAAGCAGAGGAACTATTCTTGCAACAGTCCTTGTGCGGGAATTCATTTACTTATATTATTAAGGTAATATTTAAGAAACTAATATAATATAAATATACAGAGGATAGAGTATTCAATTTCAATATATTCTTGAAGACTTGTATGTACAAAAAATATAAGCGATTTTAAAACAAATAGTGACTCGAAACAGAACTAATTTGAGTGTACGACCAACCAGGCTCCAGGAGATAAACCACTCCTTGTGTGGAAATTGTATTCGTTTTTACAACGAACTCCCAAGCGAAATTAAAGAATTATAACTAAATAAATTCAAAGCCCTCGTTAAACGTAAATTAATCAATAAAGCTTTTTATAAATTTGACGAATATTTAAATGATCCTAAACTTTGGGATTGATTTTCTCCAGTTCAAACAATTAGTATGACTCAATACTTGGCGATTAAAAAGAGTGGTGGAAAGCTTTTTGCCAGTTCTACTTGCCCGCTCTACCCCCCTGACTTGTGTACTAAATATATAATTGTGTGAATTAAATTATTTTGAGTTTGAGTAACGTATTTCTGCTTCAACATCTGCAGCTCTGCTTCACCGTATCCAAGGCTAGAGAGAAGACTATTTTGGTCTTTTCCCACGGAAGATGTTTAATATAAATGAATATTACTGCAACGTTAAGCTTGCTAACTTATTGCAGTTGAGTATTAGGGAGCATCCACATCTGGCGAATATGCCGCGAATGTGCAGCTCGCGAGCCGTCTGCGAGCTGCGCGCGTTCATTTTTGGTCGTGCGCCGCTCCTGCGCCGCCCGCGCGCAATTCGCTCGATCAAAGCGCGGGCGGCGCGCTAGTACTGACTACTGAGCTAGTAAACGGAGCTGTAAGCACGAGAATTGAGGGGGCGCAGATCACGCGCCGCGCGCACACCTTTTACGAACCTTGCATGAGTTGCGCTAAAGAGGCGCACCAAACCATTGACGTGACTGCACGCGCGCAGCTCGCAAACGGGTCGCGAGCTGCACATTCGCGGCATATTCGCCAGATGTGGATGCACCCTAACATTTAAAAGTTTTTCAAAGTAGAACAATTTTATTAACACGCGTTCCAGCCCATGTAAATTATTCATTTATACAGCCACTATTGAGGTCTTCAATTATAATATTGTAAGGTGAATAATCACTGAAATATTTCAATTAATGTAGCAATCGCGTCACATAACGTATAATTTACGCGCATGAATTAGACTTTATGTTTCCTTCCTCAAATCCTTATAGTTGAGGAAAACATACTCATGAAACAATTTTACACAATTCGTCACTCCAATCCAATTTTTTGTAATACAAGTCATAATCATACAATCCATCCATCAACCACTTGACTTAAGACATAAATATGAAGGAAGCAAAGATTTCGATATTTAATAAGCATAATGTAACAATCGTTAGTAAAGACAATAGTAAGGATGAAGACATTCAAATTCTTTAGATTAAACTTTTAAACATACATTTTAGGTGTGCTGTCCATTAGATACAACGTCGTTCCGGATCAAGCCCGTCATATATACAGTAACAAAGGAAACTACACCAAAACCAGAACCGAAACCAGAACCAAAACCAGAACCGAAACCAATACCTAAACCAAATGTACTTTCTAGACCAGAGACGAATCCAACATTTGGTATCGATGATAAGATAAACAACCCCAACGATAAAAAAACCAATGAGAATATTTCCGTAGCTCCAGATGGCACTTGCGGAATTGACACTGGTACCGGCAATAGAATTTTTGGTAAGCATTTTATAGAAAGTCTATAGTGTAAGTGTGATGTTAAACTACAGAGAGAACTACACACACACGAAAGTGATTAGTTCAGTGCGTAAATGATTACCTATTAATTATTTTAATATTCCTAAATGATAATGTGTTAATTGCAGACCACAATATTTTAATCAATATTACTATTTTGTTTGCTTTTATCCCTATAAATGAAACTTCTATGATAAATAAATTCTACTCTTCATCAAAAAAAATTCTGTTTCAGGTGGGGAAGCAACTAACCTCGATCAGTATCCCTGGTTAGCTCTACTACAATACGCGAGAGAATTTCTTCTCTGCAGCGGCAGTTTAATTTCTCCAAAATTAATTTTGACAGCTGCACATTGCATTAACGGGCCAAACAGAGCACCGTAAGTATTTGTGTACCATTATAATCGCAGCATCTCTTGTCAAAAATCGTAGAATAGGAAATTTAAAAAACATTTGGATCGAAATTGTATTAAAGTTATTTCATCAACTTTCCTATAAGGAAAACTAGAGCGAAATAAGTAGAAGTAAACTATGGCAAAATTAGTGTATAGCATATGGAACAGCTAAACATAAATTCACAACCATCATAAATTGACAAACTGGGAAAAAGGACAAAATAGGATAAACTGAAAAATCCTTGGAAGAAATAGGCGCCAAGACGATGATGTCAAGGTGTGTGATCAACCTTAACTAAATCAGGTAATATTTTGCATTTCAGGCTTTTTGCACGTCTAGCAGAATACAACGTTACCTCATTCCCAATAGACACCCAAGAAACTGATGGTGGTGGTATTGACTCTTCAACTGTTGTTATCATTCCAGTTGAGAATACACTCTCGCATCCAGACCACAATCTTAGCAAAAGGCTGAATGACATAGGTTTTGTCAAGCTCAAGGAAGCCGCCGTATTTTCAGGTTCGTTTTCTTTCTTATTTTTGACATGTTCATACATTCAAACATAGCTCTTACTAGAGAAGGCAAACTATATAAATACGTAATTGAAGTCTTCCTTCTTTCCAGATTTTATAAAAATAATCTGTCTACCTACAGTCGACCTTTTCCCACAGTTTAATAAAAACACAAATTTTACTGTGGCTGGGTGGGGAATTGACGAGTCTGGAGAATCTAGTGACGTTAAGAAACATGTGAGGCTTCCGTTTGTAAGAGAGGACTACTGCAAGGAACGTTATTCGGACCTACCACTTTTAAATGTTATATGTGCGGGTGGTGAAGCTGGCAAAGACACTTGTAATGGCGACTCGGGTGGTCCGTTGATGTACGAAGATAGTTCGACATTTACTATCATTGGCATACTGAGTTTCGGTTACCGTGAATGTGGAATTGCTGGCTGGCCTAGTGTTTACACTAATGTCTTTCAATATATGAAGTGGATTAGGGATGTTACTGAGGGTAGGATTAAAATCTAATTTTTCATTGGATAATATGATTTTGAGTTCAAAATGTATGGTAAAGGTTGCTCCACCGTTAACTTTGACAGCAAAAACTTCTTTGGAAGAAAATATTGCACAGTTACAAAGTTACCATAAGTCTGAAATTATATTTTTTTTACACTTAAGTACTTGATTTTGTAGAAAATATTTATAATCCTAACTTTAAGATATCTGAACACACAGATTTAGGTAATTAATTTGACATAAAAAAAATTTCTAACGCTTTTACTAAAGCGTCAAAATGTCATCAATACTCAAAGATCGAATCTCAATTAGTATTAAGCTGTTTAGTAAATGTTACACATAATATATGGTGTTCCCGAAAACAATTTTTCATTTCTCTTAATATATTTATTCTACCATACCTACTTATACTAAAGTACATACATGACTCTTAAAATGCCGGCAACGCACTCGCGAGCCCTTTTGCATTAAGAGTCTAAAAAACGTAATGACTCACCTCTAGCGTTTGTGGCTGCGTCGGCAATTTTCTGGAATGCATCAAGGAATGCAGCGACTGCTACTAGGGCTGACCTGGAAAACGTTTATAATTAAAACACCCAAGTTCTATGTGATGTTTTTTAATCGAATTAAATCAACGCTTTTCTGGTTAAGTTTACGTCACAGGTGAAAACGAGCACTCGTAATTCTTCATTATTAATTTTATTAAGTTCACATGAGCTCGGTTGACTTATGTGACTAAAAGTACAGTAATCCCTTCCATAACACGGTGGATTGGGTTATGGGAGAATTCTCGCATAACGCGCTTGTGTGCAATCTCAAATATTTTTGGGACTGAAATCGCGTAATATCAAAATGCGTAGTACCGTTTTATAACACATTTATATACCCCTATAGCTAAGGCCCTGTAGTTTGTTATTTAGCCCAACATTTCGCTCCATAATATAATGAAACATTCTATATAAGAAATATTGTAAAAATCTTTTCAATTAGATAGCGCCTGATCGTTTTGTGAGCAAAATCTCGTTCATACAAATCATATAATTTTATCAGGCGATATTCTTTATCATATTAGCAATTACGATAGGAATATTACAATGTGTAAATATACAGAGCCTATGGAGAATCAAGGACACCATGATTACTACTTTTTTTTAAATTTAATACCAGATAATCGGATCACCTGATGTTAAGTGATGCTGACGCCCATGGACATTGCCAATAGGCTCCCATGTGTATTTCCAGCGTTTACCATAGTACCATTAGTACGCTCTTTTCTTGAAGGACCCTTAGTCGACTTTCTGTATAGAAATCATCCTGAGGAAAGCGGCCATGCTTTAAACCCAAATAGGCTACTCGCCTTTTAGAATCAAAAAAAATAATAACGAAGCATACAGAAATCGGAGACTGAAAGAATCTAAAAGATTGTAGCGCCACTGTTTCCTTTTTCTGAGTGCTTGTTTTTGTAATCGAGTTTATTCTCTGTCATTGCACCACACTACATAAATTGGTCCGAATTAGTGGCTGTAGCGTCAATTGCGAAGAATAGCGTAACTGATTGCATACGAATTTCCATTGCATTCACTGCCAATGATAACAATGATATCAGAACGAGGAACATACATAATATAACCCCTGAGTCCTGACGTCCGTCGTTGCATAACTGAGCGTTTTTAAGGCATTTTTAAGCACCATCACTATATTAAACCGGCTGACAACTAGTATTTCCGAACCAATTCAACTGAAGGTTTAAGAAAAGAGTGTACCAATTCTTAAAAGGTCGGCAACGCACATACGAGCCCTTTTAGCAGGCGGTATCACTTAACATCAGATGAGCGTCCTTGTATAAAACATAAGAACCATAACTGCCATTCTAAGCATTATTATAAACCAATGTAACAATCTTATTGTCATTCTCGAATACCTTAAATTATTAAAATAAATGTATCCGATAGTCTACACATCATACTGAATTGCCTCATAAATACAATAACAATAATAATCGAGTAGCAAGACATAGATCGCATCCGTTTCTATAATCATTGCTAATTCATAGGTGATCAGCCTTCTGACACATGTCAAGTTTTCCTTCATCGTACCAGCCAGTGTCAGATGCGAACATAGACAGAAAGTATATCGACTTAGGGTAATTCAAGAAAAGAGCGTACCAATTCTTAAAAGGCCGGCAACGCACTCGCGAGCCCTCTGGCATTGAGAGTGTCCATGGGCGGCGGTATCACTTAACATCAGGTGAGCCTCCTGCCCGTTTGCCCCCCGTTCTATAAAAAAAAAATTTGGTGCACCGACAAGGATCTAACCTACGACCCAAGAGATGAGAGTCGCACGCTGAAGCCACTAGGCCGCCTCTGCTATTTTTTAAAACAATACTAATCAAACTTACTTAAAAATAACACATCAACGGTGTAATCCTTTTCGTCATAAACCAACTTATAAATTAAATAAATAAAAATAACACTTACTTCAATGCCGAATGTAATTTCGTAGCTTTCGATATAAATTCCTCCCACATAGGCGCGCTGTTCTGTAAAAGAAAAAAATAAGATTATGAACTGTAGAGTTTGATAGCGATTGAGCGTTCTAACCCGAGCTCTGCGCTGGATTTATAGAACTACAACATTGTAAACCGCCATATATTGTAACCCAAAGTTATTTTAGTTAGTTCTTATTATACAACTATTTTTTTTTTTTTTTTTTATGTAATAGGAGGCAAACGGGCAGGAGGCTCACCTGATGTTAAGTGATACCGCCGCCCATGGACACTCACAATGCCAGAAGGCTCGCAAGTGCGTTGCCGGCCTTTCAGGAATTGGTACGCTCTTTTCTTGAAGGACCCTAAGTCGAATTGGTTCGGAAATACTTCTGTGGGCAGCTGGTTCCACATAGTGGTGGTGCGCGGCAAAAACTGCCTTAGAAAACGCTCTGTTGTGGAACGACGGACGTCGAGGTGATACGGATGGTATTTTGTATTTTGCCTTGACGTCCGATGATGAAACTCAGCTGCAGGTATTAGACCGAACAACTCCTCTGAACACTCTCCATGGTAAATGCGGTAGAAGATGCAGAGAGATCCCACATCTCTACGCAACGCCAAGGGATCAAGCCGCACGGAAAGTGACTGGTCGTCGACGATTCGAACCGCTCTTCGTTGAATACGGTCAAGTGGAAGGAGCTGGTACTGGGGAGCTCCCGCCCAGAGGTGAGAGCAGTACTCCATATGGGGCCGAATTTGCGCTTTATATAGTTGCAAGCGGTGGCCCGGAGTGAAGTACCGTCTCGCCTTGCTGAGCACACCAAGCTTTTTGGAGGCTAATTTAGCCTTTCCTTCCAGATGACCGCGAAACTGAACGTTATTCGATATGTCAACGCCCAGTATTCCGATGCTAGCTGAGGCTTTAAGGAGAGTGTCTTCAAAGAGGGGAGTAGCGACAAAGGGAGTTTTTTTAGCGGAAAACGCGCATACTTGTGTCTTCTTGGGGTTAAATTGGACTAGATTTAGTCTACCCCAGTCCGAGACTCCACGTAGAAGAGTTTCGACTTCAGACACAAGTTTGTTCCGGTACTCATCGACAACAGCCCGAGAGATACCTGCCCGGCCAGTGTAAAAAGTATCCCCAGTGCTGTCGTCCGCATAGCAATGAATGTTGCTAAGCTGCAACATATCATTGATATGCAGAATAAACAGGGTCGGGGATAGGACACAGCCTTGTGGGACACCAGCATTCACAGGTTTCAGGTCGGAGCATGCTCCGTCGATGACGACTTTGATGCTCCGATCAGCGAGAAAGCTGGAAATCCAGTTGCATAATTTCTCAGGGAGCCCATAGGCTGGAAGCTTCGAGAGCAATGCTCTGTGCCACACCCGATCGAAGGCTTTCGCTATGTCCAAACTTACCGCCAGCGCCTCCCCCTTGGACTCAATTGCCTCTGCCCACCTATGTGTAAGGTATACAAGGAGGTCACCAGCCGAGCGACCACGACGGAAGCCGTACTGAGAATCGCTAATCAGCTGGTGGCCCTCTAGATACCTCAAGAGCTGGCTGTTAATAATGGTTTCCATTATTTTGGAGAACAAGGAGGTTATAGCTATTGGGCGATAGTTGGACGGATCAGAGCGATCGCCTTTTTTAGGGATCGGATGTATCGAAGCGATCTTCCAGCACTTCGGAACAGTGCCGAGCGTGTAAAGGTACCGGAAAAGGCGCGTTAGGACCGGAGCCAACTCAGGAGCACAAGTACGCAGCACAATTGGAGGGATGCCATCAGGCCCGCTCGACTTATGGATGTCCAAGGAAGACAAAGCTTTACGGATAGCACGTTGCCGGAATATAACTTCGGGCATCGTAGTATCACACCGCAATAATGTCGGTGGTTCCTTCCCTTGATCATCCAAAGTGGAGTTCGACGCAAAGAGACAGCCTAGAAGATCGGCCTTCTCTTTCGCGGTATGGGCAAGTGAGTCATCCTCCTATGCAGTGGTGGAATTGAGGGCTGACAGAAATTCCCTTGGACAGCTTTGGCAAGAGACCAGAAGGCTCGAGTTCCCGAAGGGAGGTGGGCCAATTTCTCACCAAATCTGGCAATGTGCTCTGACTTTGCTTTAGCGATTTCTCGCTTGAAGGACCTGGAGGCTGAATTGTATGCTTTTTTACGTTCGCCGATAGTCACATCACAGGATGTCACCGCTTCTGCCCAGGCTTTAAAGCATTCACGCTTACGGCGCAAAGCCGCTTTGCAGGAACGCCTAAACCAAGGCTGGGACTTGCCACCGACCGGCACCGCAGAGAATGGAATAAAGAGTTCCATACCCTGCAGGACCACCTCGGCGACAGAGTCAGCGACGGCATCTGGAGTACTCGACGAAAAGCAAATGGGCCCCCAAGGGTAGGACGCAAAAAAGACCGCATCCCATCCCAATCTGCTGACTTATAGTGCCACACGCGGCGACAGCCCGTGAAGCTAGGCCGAAGAGGGCGCGTGAACGGCACAATGCTCCG